ATCATTTGTACTGATACATGTCCTCAGAGTTGTTCCATTTTTAAAAATTCAATTGCACATAAGTTGTGCATGCATCCCTGGTCACGTATGGGGAGGTGTCTCTGTAGTTATTCACTGACCTGCTTAACCTACTTTCTACTTGCCAGTCTTTTGTCTGTCCAGAGGAAAGTGCTGCGGGATAAATATAGCAGTGCTTAATAACACGCACAGTGTCTGTACAAGCTTCCTGAGCAACACAAATGGTGCCGTGCATTGTTGTAGTACTGCATGTTCACCCTCACTGTGTCACTGATCATTTCACTAATGAAATGCAGTTTCACTCTGAAGATGGATTCCTCATGTTTGGCCTATTAAGCCAACTGGTAGAAAACGTGTTGGGATGTGCTTGAACCTTTATTGAGATGAATATGACCAAAATAATGACATTTTAAGATCTTAATTGTCCAATTATGTAGACAGCTGTTGTGCTGCATTGCAATGCCAGTTCAATTGCAGTTTCCTAGCAACCAGAGAGGTACAAAGCAATGATTTTCTGGTAAGTGGCATCATTTCCTCTCAGGAAGACGAGTTTGTATATTCACAAAAAATCTAAGTCTTTAGTATGTGTGTGCTCTTTCACCTCGAGGCTAATGTTTATCTCGTTTTACTACATATACCATTGTAATGCAACAGAAACAATTGCAAATGTGCATGTGTTCTGTCTCCCCTGAGGTGTAGAAGAACCTGTGATGTAGCTGTGCAAACAAAATCATTTCACCTGATTAATTTTCATCCAAAATGCTCCATCCTGTGCTAATCATTGTACATGCATTTTTTTTTCCAATTAATTCATTATCAAGGGGGGTAGAGAGGAGGGAGGTGGGGGAAGGTTGGGGGAAGGGAAAAGAGAGTCAGGGGAAGCAGAAAATTCTGTCCTGCTGGTCTGATGTCTAGAGCAATGGTGCATTAGTCTCATCCTGATGTAATTGAAGTGACACCAAGAGAACAGCCTGCTGATTTAGGGACAGCCTCTAGGCTTGATTTAATGCCCTTTACCAAAACTATACATCCATCTTTTTATTGTTTTCTGCTTCCCTCTCCCAGGCCCTCAGATTTCTGTATCACTCCCTCACCCTTCTCGTGCATGATTCATTCACCCGCCATACTACCGTGTATCTCCATCTGTACTCTATTAACAGAGCAGCATTCACATTTTATGTTGAGTGTATTTTCCAGTGTTTTACTTACTCCTTATAGCATTTACATTCTTGAATGACTACTTGCACAGAAGATATGTTGTAACACTGAACAAATACTGTATCTCCTGAGAAGACTGTAAAGAAAGAGCAGGCGAAGCAGGTGTATCCAGGCCAGGGTGCTGTGTCTCTGGGCTTTACTGCTGCTGAGTCCCCTGACAGATGGACTGCCAGGACAATCCTATTACCCCCATGTGTTGAGCTGCGTTTAATGCCAGGGCAGTTTGCATGGATAAAAGAAGTCAATGCCTGTTTGGAAGGAGAATCTCATACTACCAAATGATGATCCCAATTTGTTTGATAACATGCAGGAGATCTAAAACCAGTGACCAGACAGTGAAAGTTATAACCTCTGTGACTTCTGACACAGCTTGTCTCACTGAGGGACGCCAACTGTCAGCTCAACTTTTAAACAAGCGTTGCTGTATATGTTTCACACAGTGGTTTCATTGTTTTGGACAAATAAAGAAAGTAACTTTAATATTTTATGTTGATTGTAGGCAATATTCATATTAGTTTTAAAGTATGCTTTATGACAGTGTTGGTGTGGTTGTGGATTTCAATGTGTGCACCGCTTTGGTCCAAACTGAAATATCTCAAAAACATGTTGATGGTTCACACAAGATGAATTCTGTTGACTTTGATGATCATCTGACTTTTCCTCTATAGATCTGCTATAAGCTTGAAATTAATGCCTTTGAGAGATTCAGCCTCCGATGTATTTTGTGTTCAGTGCTAATAAGCAAGTGTTAGCATGCTAATAAGCTAAACAAAGATGGTGAACATTATAAATATTACACAGTACTTGCCAAACATTGACAGATTAGTATCATTTTGGTGAGTATGATGGTATATTGATATTTATCATTTAATTCAAAGCAAGTGTGTCCTTAATTTCAGCATCAAGGGGCCACCAGGCCTATAGTCTAATTTTATTATATGCATCAGTAATGATGCGTCAGGAGCATGTTTCACCAGATTAGCCACCAACAAACATTCCTATCAGGTTATTTTATCTATAAACAGACAACACCGAAACATTATGTTATCACCATAAACATCGCTATCGCTATATAAATTGCTTACATATGATTTTCTCCATGTCGCTTATACTTTTACATGTAGTCACTATGAAACTTCACAAGATGCAGACACCACTATATGTGTATATGGTTCATTTATTTTTGGAAAACAACTGAAATCAAATCTAATAAAATATATTGATTGGTTTTATTTCTTCATTATAGAAACAGTTTCTTCTCATGATACACTTGGCAAAACACTTACATTTTTGGTAATTTATCCTGTCATTCAGAGCAAATTGTCATTTCCATATTGCAAAAAGAATTATTTCTTGGCCACAATTGGTTCCAAGGTACTTGATACAATTTTATACATTGATTTGCCAAGACATATTCTTGAATTTTTTAAAGATATATGATTTTTTGTAATTGCTTTGATGAAAAACAACTTACAGTTGGATCACTACAAGTCGATAGAAGTTCCATTATTAGTATCAAATATCAGGCCTTAAATAGATTTTGGATTGATCGACCAAAACCTCACATTTGTGGGATTAACTGGATGAAAATAATCAATATTGTAGCCTATTTAAACCAGACATTATTGACTGGTCAATATCCCACTGACGGTGATTCTGAGTTATGAGAGAATTACAGTGAAGGTGGACTATGCGCTGTGCAGCTGATGTGTAGCCAGATATCTATGGCCTGTGTCGAAGCATGTGTTCATATGTGTGCATTGCTTGGTATGCAGACGGCATCTTGCTGCCTGTAGCCTTACACCAGCATCCCTGGGTCAAGCAATTACCACACATCAAGGAAAGCAATTGGGCATGACTAAAATATCATTGCCATGTGATTGTGTCCCTATGTTTGGTGCTGTTAGAGGCTAATTTAACCCACTTTGTCCATACGATTGAAAAGAATTGAGGACATGCTCGCCAATTCTGGCGTCCCCTCGAGCATTTCCTGCGAGTCTGACACACAGTAGCTGGGTTGTACATGTGCTGTCACTGGTCTCTACCTGTAGTGAAGTGAGAGATGGGGTGAGAGGAGTGAGCTAGCAGAGGAGAACATGTAGCTGGCCTGGAGGAGGGGAGCAATAAATGAGCCATGGGGAGCATAAACTTGAGGCTTGTGAATAAACGGTCTGAGAATATGCCGTTGTTACTGACCTGGGATCACTAAACCAAACTGGTCTCCAATCAGAGTTGTTCATCTCAGGTGCCGCCTAATGACCCAAGAGCTTATGCGGTCACATTTTGAAGAGTGGCAGGAGAGATGGGGGAGTGTGAAGGGAGACTGGCATAAATGCACAGGTGATGAGACAGAGAAGGGAGATAGTGGATGTTTTTAAAAAGGTAGCATTAATCCCAAACTCAGGCTCTGGCATTCTCCACTTAATGCTTCATTATATAGTCAGATATCTGTATGTTTTTAAATGCCACTCCTGCCCTGCATCTGTCTGCATCACCTCCCCACAGAAATCTGACAAACCTGAACCACTCATCCAAGCAGCCTCATTCTTCTAAACCCATTGTTTCACTGATTCAATTTCATTTGGTTTTGCTACTCAGCTGTAACTTAGCTGAAGTCTTTGTTCTGTGTGTTTCTTTTGTCCTCATAGACACTGTTTAAATATTGATAGAGCTGGGAAGCACAGCTGACCATTCAGTCAGATCTGAGAGGGTCAGGGATGGCAGAGTTTCTCTGCAGATCTCACTGGGGGAGCAGAGAACTGTAATATGGAAGCATGTGAATCACAGGCCCTTGTTGATGCTCCAGCAGCCTTCATTATGCCCCTGCATGGATAATGCTCCATAATGTATTCTGATAGGACTGGAGGTTGAAGGGTGATGGGGTGTAAAATAGCATGTGTAGGAAGACCCTGGTTTTTTTCTTCTTTGCTATGAGCAGCCTGCCTCTGTCACAGGCAGATCCCCATTACTAGAGAAAGAGAGAACTGAATGTGCAAATGGTCCCATGGATTAGAGAGCTAATGCATTTAGGAGAGGGAGCTCCACAATCTCTTTATTGCTGATGTGTGTTGAGGCTCGTGCAGAGGAGATACCCGGTCCCTTTGTGGAGCCAGAGAGATTTAGGGTAAAGTGAGTAGATAAGGGCAGGGATGCGCTGTGGGCACAAACAGCCTCATGCACTCATCGGAGATTACGGTTTGATCAGAAGAAGGCGCGTTGTGTGTGGTGTTATTAAACTCTGCATGGAAATGAGGTCTTTCCAGAAAGAGGCACAGACAGCGGCCTTACTAATCTAATTAATCAGCGTCTGGTATTTTCTTCCTCCTTCTCTCTGGCCCTCTCTGCTGCTCCCTCCTTTCAAGTTGGATCCACCCATCCCTCATTCTGACTCTAAATCCCTCCTTTGTGTTCCTCTCTGTCCTAAATTTCCTGAACCTGAACTTCAAAGTGAGTGTTTGGACAGAACTGTGCCATGTCATGTGCTTCTTGTAACACACCTTATAAAGCTCTTCTTGTGGCATGAATAGATGAATAGAACTGGATCTATGTTCAGATGGAAAAGCACCAAAAAGTTTACAGCTCTGTTTGTAGTGCAATGTATAGACATCTCTGCAACAGGATGGAGGGATGGTGATGCTGGATCTATCAGGCTTAAGAAGCAACCTGCTACCAGGCCTTAAGGCATCTGTCCTCAATGCTCACACGAACGTAGTCACCTGCTCAGACAGTGAGTGAGCAGTCTCTGCTGAAGCGCAGCGGCAGCAGCGCAGTGGGTAAGTACAGCACTGCTCTGCGCTATCCGGCACAGTGAGTCAGCTCAGCTGCCGGGATCAGAGGCGCCCCGGTTCTCTTGGATGAATGAATGAATGAGAGAGCGAGGAGACCCTGCAGGATCTGGAGACAGAGGAACGAAGATGCATCTCTGGAGAGACTGTCATGGAGAAACTGAAGTGATCGGAGCAAGCTTGTTGACGCATTTTCTCGCCCGCCCCGCTGGCACTGGGAGGGGGCAGATCTAGGCTGGCTAAACTCAAATCCTCCAAAAGAGATTTACGGAGTGCGTTGCTGCGGGTTCAGCCACCTCAAGAAGACTTAACAGCTCTTTAATTTTTCGCCAGCAGTTCAGTGATAATACCCATATTTTGATGTTTTGAGGAGATTAGTGCGTTTCGGTGAGTTATCTGAAGCAGAGGACGCAATGCGCTTTAATAATTAGGAGAGTCAAACCACTGTTGGGATCGACACTGTCACTGCGTCGCGGACGGGTTTGAGGCGTCCTGAGGTGTGGACCGGACCTGCCCATACATCATAATCATAATCATCATCCTCATCATCATTACAGGTATTTGATCGTGATTGTGTTGATTACACCGGAGATCTGGAGCCATGACAGGCCCCCCGCTGGTCCCACAGGCCGCCTGCTGACGGTACCCGGCACGATGGGAGCAGGTCTGTCGCTTTCAGGATCCGGAACCATCCGATTTATCAATGGAGGAGGAGAGTGACACCCGGAAAATCAACAACAGCTTCCTTCGCGACCACAACTATGCAACCGAAGGTATTTAATCCAGTGATGCCGGAAAAAGCGGTTTTGCCGGCACTTAAAATAACCTCACGCAGTAGTTAGATGGATAGTCACAGACATTGTCATAGATTAGTCTGGTGTCAGTAGCTGCAGATGATGAGGTGGCTTCCCGTCATACCTCCTACATTAGGATGACCACCCTGACCCAGGGGAATCAGGGCTTTAGTCTGTATGGATCATGGGCAGCAAGGGAATAAAGCCCCTGTACAGCGGCTTCATGTGATGTAGTTAGAAACGATGGAGAAATGATGGAAATATAGTTTCCTCGTCTTTTGTGTTCACTTGTTGAAAGAATGAGACAGGGAAGTTGGCCTAATTTTAGGAGACTGAAATATGGATCCTCTCTCTCTCTCTCTCTCTCTCTCTCACGCGCGCCCGTGTTTTTACTGTACACCTACATAACCAAGCACTGAACAATAGCAGTTTCTTGCAGAGCTCTGCACGCGTTTGCTCTACATTGACCAAACATTAGCTTCTTTATTATCAGCCTAACTGTTTGACTCTTAATTGTTCCCTTATGTTCCACCAATCATCTCCACCTATCTACCACAAGCTGCTTAGTTCCGTGATCAACACAAAACACGGATTTCCACGTAAAGACTAACATTAATCTCATTACTACCTTGACCTAATTATTCAGTTTGGTTATGTCAGTTGATGATGGAAGCATCGGAGCTGAGGGCATATGGTAATGTCAGTCTGTATTGCTGAAATGCCATATATTGTCTGTGAATACAGCAGTTAGAAGCATCATAATGAATCTCCAAATCCACAGTTTGGTAGTGGTTCAGTCTTCTGGTATCAAGTTGTTGTTTTGTTTGTTTGTTTGTTTGTTTTTTATACTGTATCGCTGTTTTTTTGAAGTCTTAAAATGATTTTTTTGTGGATTTGTTGCATGTCTGCTATCTTCTTTGTTAATAACAAAATAATTATCCCCATCTTAACAAATAATTGGTTATTAAATTTTGTGCAGACCTTTGTAATGAGCATAGTTTTTGTTTGGTTTGTGTAGTTTATACTCCATGCACTATGGTTTATTTGCAGTTGTATTCATTGCCAGGGCAACACTGGCAAAGCCTTAATTATTTTTTTTCATACAAGCCACATTTCACCAAACACTTACCATAAGGTGTGAAAAGAAACACAATCAGACAAACTGGAAACATAATTCAAAATGTGATGGATCATCTTGTAACTGAGAAGTCAAATAAGATATCTTCACAAATTAGCTACAGAATATATATCTCAGAGCCACAGAGTGGACTAAAGGGTGCTGAAGGTACATGTGGCTACATGTCCCCTCAGATTACTGACGCCCCTACAGGTTGGAGGAGAGACAGAGTCAAGGCTCAGAAAGCAGAATGCCTCATCTTCGTAGTTTCTCTTGCTGCTTTTCTTTGGGATAGCATCATTATTTGCTCAGCTCTGGCACTTACAGATGATTCCCTGCCACTGCTAAGCACACAGACACTAGTTCTTAGTGAGATGAAGTGAAGTGGGGGGTGGGAGTGGGTGTGATGATATCTTTGTTTGATGTGTGTGTGGAGATGAAAAACAGGAGGGGATCTTCTTCCAGCTTGTCTCCTTCTGCCTGTCTCACTCATTTACGCTGTCTTGTTCATTTTATCAGGAGAAGGTGGATTAGAGTTATACAGGTTGTAAAACGTGTCTCTTTAAAGCAAAGAACTGTCTAGTCTGTGGCCCATCTGTGCTTTTCAAACATGGAAAGTCTACTTTTGTTATTTTTTATAGCTATAATTTATGACTTATCGTCACACCTCATATATCATGAATGAGTGTGTGTGTGTGTGTGTCTCACTCCTTTTCTTCTAAGTGGTATGAAGTTGGTTTGCAGCCAAAGATCATACATAGGCCAGTGTCTGGGTCCATCACCATGTCCTCATAAATTCACCATAGTGCACATGCTTCAGCAGGCCCAGTCCGTCCAGACCACACACACACACACACACACACATATATAGGTCCCTGATGAGTGGCGGTGAGCCGGTAGGGATTTCCTTGAGGCCGTGCTTGCCCGTAGCAGCAGGACACTTTAATGATGTCACATTTTAATGATGTCACTCACGCTGACCTTTGCCTTGCACCAATCCCACGCATCAGTAGGCCTGTGGGCGGTTACATTGACTCTGTGTGCACACAGTAATGTGAGTAAAACTGCACTGGCCATCTATATTTGGTTATGAAATTTCTCCTCAACCTTAAAGAAACATTTCTAGAGATACTGTTGTCTCCATGAAACAACATGAACCATTACATTAGAGTCTCATTTACAACCACCAGCCGCCTGTTAGATGACACATTACCATCCCATTAATGGTAATGGGATGGATGGTTCTAGGCTGTGTGTAGTGTGTTCACTCAGTGGACTGTTACTCTCCTACAACATAGATCTCAGTTAATTTTCATAATCTCCAGCTTGGATGTTTCTTTAATGGATGAAACTGTAAAATAGCAGAACACCACAGCGGGTGTTAAAATGGAAATTGCTTCCTTGCTGTGAGGCAGGACCTAACCTAACGTCTGCTTTGGTATTGATTTCTGGTCTTTTACAATTTAGCCACTGGAACAATGACCCAAAGATCTATTGGTAGGACATGAAATCCCTTCCTCCTTCTCTCCCTTACCCACTCTTCTTCCCATTCTCTCCCTCTCTCTCTCTCTTTATATCTGTCTGATGTGAGTACAAGCTTGTTTCTGATGTGACCAACTGAATACTGATGGAGTCCAGTAAGAGAGACCTCACTGCCTTTATTGCTGCTGCTGATGAGAGCGTGAAGATAGCCTGGTTGCCTGTGCCAAGGCAAACGGCCTGAGGCCACACTTTAAGACCCCAGCATAAAAAGACTTAGCCCGCTTTGCCCCCAGGTCCCATTCATTATTCACTATGAAACACTCAAAACGCCGAGCCCCGCCCCTGCACAGCACATAGTGCAAAAAAAGCTCATGTCTATGTGTGAGTGTGTGTGTGTGTGTGTGTGTACAGGGGTGGTGGGTGCTTAATGGCAAGCTGTGAAGTTGGGACAAGTCACACTCCTTATTCAGCAGCTGCTTTCATCCCCTGATTAGCTTCTTATTAAGTCTGGAGCCCCATGAAAATTTAATGAGAACTTATTAAAGAATACCCGTGGTGTTGCTACCATAGGATGATTACAAAAATAACCTATTTCTCAACTGCAAAATAGCTTCCTGGTCAGTGGAGTCGAGGTGCTGCTGTGCTAGCTGTACTGTGTGTGAGCCACTGAGTTACACTGCCAGCCTGAAGGCTAAGCAGTGTTTGACCTTTCTGGAGTTTACAATGGGATACATTTGTAAGTTTTGATAGCTAATTCCTGTGTCCTGTCGAGGAAGCGGTGTCACTTGAAATTCTTCATGTTTGGATGATAAGGTCACTGTAGATACAAGATTTAGGTCTGTACAGCAGCAGCCTCATCTTTGATTCACTCAAGTCTTAAAAACAGGAAGATGAAAGGGATTACACCAAAGCAACACAGACAGGCAGAGAGAGACAGCTTTTGTTTCGGTGGTGGAATATAATTCTATGCGCCTCCACTTCCCTCACCATCCCCCATCTTCAATTTCTTAGAGAATACCAAATAACAAGCATTTCAAATAATCCCTCTTGGTTGTGCTTGCAGGAATTGATCACCTCTTTCACTGCTTTTCACCACACTGCCTCTTGTCTTGTTTGGTCCTGTCCTGTGTTGTGTCTGTAGTCAGATGTGTGCCACAGTGATGTGTTAATGAAGTGTGAGAAGTGAAGCAATAACATGTCTCGCCTGCTTCGCCCTCAAATCCCCGGCATGTGAGGATACATAAAAGCACAAACACACACACAAGTACATATGCGCACTAAAAAAGTATAGCTACACACATTCACATTCAGACAAAACACACACATACATACATACACACACTCGGTCTCACTCTCAAGGGGTTGATCCTGAAGAAACCAGGTTAATTAGCTTGTTCACTCCAGATCTTACTACTCTTCAGATGAAGAGAGCTGCATTGTGCTCTCCTGCTTTGTGTGCAGCTAATAAAGCCTAACAATACCATAATCACATGGCTTTGTAGCAGACTAGTAGGTAGCAGGGCTTATTCAAAATTTTGACTGATCTCTATTGTTACTGGTGTGAAAAGAAGCTGTTATCAGCTGCTTATTCAGCACAGAGATGGTCATTATATACAGAATTTGTGATACATGCGTGTGTTCATATTCTAGAAAGAAAAGGGCACTGACTGATACATTATGAAAGAAGGAGTAAGAGTGCCAAGTAAAAGAGAGTGCAAGAGCAGACCTGAAATATCCCCCGGTCTGATCCTTAGACACAGGATTTAATCGAGCATTTACACAACACCATGTTGCTCACGTCCTTCCCTCTACCTGGAATAACTTTACACTGCTTATGCAACACGCTTTCCATGCAGTCACACTATTTTGGGCCTGCGTGTCTTACACAACCCTCCTATGCCATCAGATTAAGCTTCACTTTGATTTTTTTCCCCCACCCCTGACAGCATTATGTGTTGTCTAAAGGTTAGCCTGGATGCTCCTATTTTGGTCTTTGTGTCTGGACCGATGAGACTCATTGTATGATCTTTTATTGACTGGCCTACCCTTTTCAGACTTCCCTCCTCACTATCCTTTCTTTCAGCGTCTCTTTCTGTTATGCATGATAGATGTTGTATGCTCAGATGTCTAAAAATACATTCAATATCTTCACTCTCCTCCCTGTGTTTCTGGCTCTGCGTGCACACGGTTTCATTCCAAAATCAATGCATATCTATGTTTCCATCCAATTGGTTTGACTCCCTGTTCTATATTGCATGCTGAAGGGGGTTATTGTGGTTCAGATTGGTGAATAGAAACAGATAAGAGCAGTGCCATGCCTGTTTCATACAAACACACATCACAGCAGCGGGCCAACAGGCTTGTCTGTGTTATTACTGGCGATAAATGTGTGCTATGCCGCACATCCCTCTGATGCATCAAGAAGCGCTGACCTGTCTGTGTCAGACCTGGCTGACCACAGGATTTATGGGTTTCATCTGGCTATGGTCTGCTGATGGAGCTGTGTGTGTGCGAGTGAATGTGTGTGTGATCCGAATCTCTAGCTTGCTGCTAATTGCACTCCATCTTGAACCTACTGATGTTCATGTAATAAAAATCAAAGCTGATGCAAGCGGAAAGCCTTCAGGAAAACCCATTCACCTGCAACTCCTTTGCTCATCAAGGTGTTCCCTATAATGAAATTTTATCTGGAAAAAAAATGCATGATCAAACACAGTTCCATCAGTGGCTGGAGTATGTGGTTTGAATACATTTGCATAAGGAAAAGAACTAATCTAGGAAAACATTCCATCATGTTACAGGGAGTTCCAGCTTCACCGGGTCCTCCTGATTCTACATTTAGTGAAATGATTGAAGGATTTATCCATGTGTAAACTCATTATTTGGAATCCATCATTTACTGTTTCTCCTCACTGATTTAATATGTGGATGATGAGGTAAGGAGAGAGGACAGAGTGAGCGGGAAGACAGAGAGAAGTATGAAGGACAAAAGGAGAGAGAAAAGCTTTGATTCAAGAATGCTGACCACTAAGCTGATTCCATTCGATTCACACCAGCAGCTTTGGCTTGATGATGTTGAGGACACACCATTGTGTGTGTGTGTGTGTGTGTGTGTGTGTGTGTGTGTGTGTGTGTGTGTGTGTTGGGGGCTGCACTACATGTCTCTGTGCATGAGGCAATGCATGCAGGTATAGATACAGCAATATGGCGTGTCAGTGGGGTTCTCCCAGGCTGTAATTAGGTCAGAGTGTGTCTTGTCTATGAGGCTTTATTAGTCCCTAGACTCAAGTATGATTAGAATTGTCCCCCTTTCCCCCCACCCCCCCACCTCATGTCATTATCAACACATGGCCATAAGAATCCCTCTGGTCTCATCATTGAATGTAGCTTTCTCAATTAAATGAAACAAGGGACACACACACACACTCACACAACACAAAAACATGATGCTTCGTCATTTCCACCATGCAGAGCAGCTTTGGAAAGATGTCCCTGTTTACAGTGACTCTATTGTCTGAGGGTGTGTGCAGCACTGAACTGCACACACTCCACCAGATGCAGTAGCAAGTTTTTACTCTATTGCAGCACTCTCTCTTTCTGCTGAATTACAGCTAGCATCTGCAACTAAGTCTGAGAGCTACTGGCACACACATACACACACACACACACACACACACCCCTTCGACTGCCGCTAGAGATGGAAATGGTCTCCATAGCAACATTCAGCTCTTCTGTTCAGCACTCCGGCAGTGGCAGGTCCACAGAGGGTGTGTTGTGTGTGTGTGTGTGGGGGGGGGTTACAAAACAACAATCTCTCTCTCTCTGTCTCTGTCTGTTTTTAGCTCTCTCTGTCTAATATTATTGTTACTGTTAAACAGAGGGCGAGCCTCTGTTGTGGTGTGTGTGAGACAGGCATTATACTATCCCTTTTTAGCCCAGGGCTCTATAATAATTACACTCACCGTTAGCCTCTCCTAAATCCAGGCAGATGTATGTCTTTAAGGAGGAGAGGAAAAGCTATAAGGGTAGGTTTCTGTCATTTACTTTTTGGTGAAACTGTAGCTATGCAGAGATACTGGGAAATGTTGGCAGAGAATAAACAATTATATGCTACTACTGTTGTTTTTTTGACATCCTACAGAAAGTTATAAAGTATGTTCAGCTACAAAGAAATGCAGAGTTTAAAGGTGTTTTTACAGAAGGAGCAGGCAAGTCAGTCTTAGATCATCAACTCAGCTTTTATTGGAGGCACCCAGGTCAAGATTAAAACACTGGGGAGACAGAGCCTTTGCTATAGCAGCTCCTAGACTTTGGAATAGTCTACTTTTTGTAGTCAGGTCTGCTTCTAATCTGGCCTCGTTCCATGTTCTTCTTAAAACATACTTATTTACATAGGTATTCCATAGGTACATTTAATTGTGAAGTATTTTGTAACATTTGTTTAGACAGGTGCTATATAAATAAAATTTTGCTTGCGGTGTGGGGTCTTGCAGCCAGGATGAGAGAGATAACTAGTGTGGTGGCAGCATCCCTTTAAAAGTAGGAGTGCAATTAAATGCCACAGACTGGCTCACTTCAATCAGACAAGGGTCTGAATTAGTTGATATCATGCAGTGACTCATTCAGTGGTTTGTCCTAACCCACATTTCACTAAACTAGGGTATCTGTGCTGGAGAGACCTCTGTGGGTTTGTCATGAGATTCCCCTCCCCTTCCGCTGATGTGCTTTCTAGAAGTCATCTTACCAGAGCTCATTGAAATGTCTTTCTGTTTGTGTGACTGATACCTTGACAGCTTTGGGCATGTCCACACTGACACCCCCCTTCTGCTCTGCTTCCTGTGCTGCAGCTGACATTATCTCAACGGTGGAGTTTAACTCATCGGGGGAGCTATTGGCCACTGGGGATAAAGGAGGCAGAGTGGTTGTCTTCCAGAGGGAGCAGGAGGTAGGAAATGCCAACAATGCAGCACTAATTATGCTGCCCTTCTGCTGAAAGGATTTTACAGCCTTGAAATCAAAACTGGAATGTTTGCTTTTAGATAACTAAGCAAAGGGGAATATTTGAAAAGGATTGCTAGCTGATATTTAGCAGTAAATATCTCAAAAACAAACAAAATGTTTTGTTTTGGTGGGACCATTATACATTTGTGTTACATGGAGAGGCATTATGTAAAACCACCAAAACCTAGTCTGAAAATCTTAAAGTTGTCAATGATATCAAATATGTCATGCTGAATTATAAAGAACTTGTGAACTGCACATCTAGAATTTTACATTTCATGTATTGGACCAACCATAAACATGTAGCATATTGGAAATGAGCCTTCATTCTGTATAAATGGTGTATAACTACAGTGGAGTGCAAGCACAAAACAAGCTTATCCAGAAAAAACAAAACCACTGCCGAACACTGTGGAAACAAGAGGGTATGACTATGCTAGTTAATAGTTCTGTGAGGCTGCGCTTACACGCAAAAGTGCTCTGAGATAAATGCTAACATTAGTATGCTAATAAACCTGCAGAGAGAATACTAAAATGTTGATGTTTGGTAGTGTCTGCAATATTCACCATCTTAGCTTAGCAGGTGTGCTAACACTTGCCAGTTTGGACAAAGAAACAAGATTAAACCGAGGCTAACAGGGAACATCATTAGTAGGTAGGTCATCATAAACCAAAGTGGTAAGAATTTGACCTGAAGATCACAAACATAGTTTGAATTCATTGTCTGGGTACCTGTATATATAAATATATGCATATAATGCATAAACCTTTATGGCAGTGTCTTTTATGGCTGACATTGCCAAAACTGGATTCCCAGTGCTAAAAACCTTGAAACTACTTAAGAGGAATTTTGAGGGGAATAGAATATGGATTTACACCAATAATGATTTTTTTCCTCAAATGTTGGACATCTTGTTAAGGAATGAAACTCTTTATACTTAATTTGTGCAAAACAGTATTCAAACTTTAGTATGCAATCTTTAGAGTAAACAGGTCACTCTCTTACTAGGATTTTCTTTCTCTCATTCTTTTGCAGAGTAAGAGCCAGCCCCAGCGTCGAGGGGAGTACAACGTTTACAGCACATTCCAGAGCCACGAGCCGGAGTTTGATTACCTGAAGAGTTTAGAGATCGAGGAGAAGATTAACAAAATTAAATGGCTTCCACAGCAGAATGCTGCGTACTTCCTGCTCTCCACCAACGGTCAGTTAGCTAGCTGTGGTGACCCTGGTACTGTAAGAGTGACACACATGGGAAAAATGGTCAAAAAACCATCAAATCTATCATGAAAGTGTTTAAATGTGGGGGTAGTGTTGTAACTCAACAGTGTCAACCGAAGATTCATTCCTCACATTACAGAATGGTCAGCTAAAAAGATAAAAAGAGGTGTTATTAATATCTTTGACAATTTTGGTGTGAACATATTGCTTGGCTGAGCAACTGCCACAAGCAGAGGGGTTTCAGATTGAACATGTCATGCATGGCTGCCACAGCAGGAACGTGCACATATATTAAGGCATCTGCCATCACACACCATACATGCATGTTACTTCAATCAGACACACACACACACACACACACACACACCAGCAGACAGACATCCTTCATGTTTGTGGGCTTCATGCATGGCTGCCAAGGTACTGCTCGCTGTGGCTGGAGCAGATAGCGGAGGGTCCTGTGGTTATGGCCTTGCTGCTCTGAAACCAATATTCACAGCGGAAATTAAGGGAGAAAAGTAACAACCTGACTGCTGCCATCCCCATCACTAGATCAAGAAGATGGATGTAACTGGTGTTTATGTGATGCAGAATTGAAAAAGCGGCCAGATGGGAAGCGTGCACTGCAGCAGGGAAATGAAGTCAACTTGTAGATTGGTATCAGTGACATCAGAATGTACACAGGAGCCACCATTCATCATCCTCGCTGGCTCCTGCCCAGCTACATACCAGATTGGCTCCCCAACCCCCCACATCCATCTTGTATCTGAGATTCACTGTAGTGAGCAGTAATCCAACTGTATTTTGTGACTCTGTGTGTGTGTGTGTGTGTGTGTGTGTGTGTATCCATCCTAGACAAGACGGTGAAGCTGTGGAAGATCAGTGAGAGAGACAAGCGCCCAGAGGGCTACAATCTGAAGGATGACGACGGACGGATACGAGACCCATCAACCATCACCTCGCTTCGGGTAAGAGGTGGACAGAGATCTAACACCAACCGCAACACCATGTGTACTGTCTCTCTCTCTTGCTCTCTTATGTTTTGTTGTATTGGTGTGTTCAAATGCTTCTGTTTGACTTGGAGTCAAATATCAGGGTATGAGCTGAAGACAGTGAGTGAAAAGAAACAAAATATTTCAACTTACAGCCTCAGGGAACTTTCAGGCTTCTTTCAGAAAAAATAACAATAGAATTTAAAAATATGAACATTTCCATTCACTTCTTCCATAAATAAGAGTGAATAACTCAAAATCTTCTAAAGTCACTGTGAATTACATTGATGTAAAAGTCATTATGGGCCCACTGTACCATAGGTTCATTTTAAATCTACGATGTACTGTTACAAATCATCCAGTCATTTCTTATATGTAATGCAGCAGAATAATCAAATAATTTTACATTTCATAAACTATATAATCATACATCATATTGCTCATGTTGCAAAATTATATTTCCAATCAAATGTTACTATCTTACTAACCATATTTAAAAATATTTTTAGGGATTATTTAGTTTTCTTGCAAAGAGGCTGATACAACTGTCAGTGTCTGTATGGTAACTATAAAGACAGAGCCTGCAGTTATCTTAGCATAAAAACAGAAAACAGACAGAAACAGCTAGTCTGGCTAGGCCAAAATAAACAAATAGACAGAATTCAGAGAGCGCAAACCTCTCCCAAGGCAGCTCAGTTTCCCCATAATGCCATTCCACCTAAAAGCAAAATTCCCATGATAGTTTGGCCCATATAATATGATTCCTTGACTATAAAAACATAACTCAATGATTTGGAATCACAATGATTTCATCATTAGTTTGAAAGCTATTCAAGAAAAACAATATTTCAGTAATAGTGGTTTTCTTCGGGATCTAGCTCAGTAATTTTAAGATTAAGTCAAACTCTTTGATTCATCGATTGAATCGGCAATTTCAGCTACAATTTGGCATTAGCTGCAAGCCTGTAGCATTATTTTTTACATTACATTTACTTTAGACAGAACCAGGTTGGCTCTTTGCCCTCGTTTCCAGTCTTTATGCTTAGATAAGATACCCAGCTCTTGGCTCTAGCTTCATACTTACTATAATCTTCGAGAGTGGTATTGATCTTCTCAACACTTGGCAAGAAAGTGAATTAATTTTGAACTTGTCCTTTTAGAAAATGTTGATTATAGGCCTTCACAGCAGCATCACTCTATTTAAGTGTCTCACAAATTCATGACAGTGTGAAAAGCATTTACAATACCAGGACCCTGATTGTGCTGGCTTGTAATCCTGTATAACATACTGTTCTCTCAAAGTCAGCACAGCTTTGCTTTTAAAAACCCGTTGAATACCAAATGCTCTATTTCAGTACTGATAAACGATAGTCTGGCACCATCCAGTGTCCCATCTTTGGACAATTTTAAACTTAGACTGGCAGAAGAAAGTGAGAATGAGTTACCAGTCCACTACCTCTTTAATTCTCACATGTTGCAGACAGGCACGTAGGACAGCGTGTGTCTGCCATTGTAGAGTAGTGCTGTGTTCATTGTGTCTGTCCCTCTTTGTGTGGCTGGCCAGGGGATCATGGCAACCTGGAGTACAGGCCGGCAGTGTGGCAATCCTATTTAGAGGCTATGAAATCTGTTCGGGGAGAGAAAGCATAGGAGGAGAACCTCAGAAATATTCATCCAAAATGCAGCCAAAAATAAAATTACTTTTTTAAAGCAGGATTATCTCATTTTAAAATATTCCTTTTTACATACTACAATAAAGAGGATTTATTAGGTCATTGTGAAGGTATAGGGGCAGGCTGAACAGCTTAGCTGTCTGTGTTTGGGGGTTATGGGTTAATGTGATCTGTGTCTCTCTGGACATCCAGTGAAAGACATGGAAATGAAGTGACACCCGTGGAGATACAGCAGCCTGCTGGGCTGCCATGTCTCTGTCAGTGCCAGCGATGGACGAGAGGAAAAAAGGAAGAAGCAGTCAATTTGTTCTCTTTGCTCCCTCCCCACCTGTCTCTCTTTGTCTGGGTGTTATCTGACCAATGGGGGGGCTGCATGCAGACTGGTGCTGGGCATCTTTGAAGCCTGAGCAGCACAGTGTAACTGTGTCTGTTTATGTTTGTATATGTGTGTGTGAGAGAGAGAGCTCATCTTAATTCTGCATAGTTCTGTTATCATTCCTCAGCAGGGCCTAGCGATACCCTCGGGTCATCTCTGTTTCCACCTCCTTCGTTTTCTCTCTCTTTTTTGCTATTTCTTTGACAGACACACAAAAAACAGAGCAAGGGTAGCTTCTTCAGTGCTTCCATGAGAGAGAGAAAGAGCGAGAGAGAGAGAGAGGGGGGTGTGATCACTGAGCAGCCGTGTAGCAAACAGATAATCACAGTCTGATTGAACCACCTCATCAAACAGCCCTGGAGCCCCTCAGTCACTCTAGCTGTTTCATTAAGATTTGTGGAGTAAATGTCATATGAATTCCTGGAGTCATTTCATTGTAGCTCACACACACAAAATTCATTTGAGCAAACAAATTATGTGCACACATTTTCACACATGCACAGATACATATCTAGGAAGGCCTTTAGGAAACCAGCATAAAAGTACATCAAATGTTGAATCGGTGCTGCAAAACCCATCAAGGCCTTCAACATAAATATTTTTTCCTGCATTTTTTTCTGTGATTATTTACATTTAGTTTTGCCTTTTCTGTTGGACCCATCTTCACCCCTAGGTGCCAGTGCTGCAGCCCATGGACTTGATGGTTGACGCTACAGCCAAGCGTGTTTTCAGCAATGCCCATACCTACCACATCAACTCTATCTCTGTCAACTCTGACCTTCAGACGTTCATCTCTACTGATGACCTCAGGGTAAACCTGTGGAACCTGGAGATCACTGACCGCAGCTTCAGTATCCTTTTATCTTACCGGACATATTACTGTTGGCATAGAAGTGTGGGTGTGTGAAAAACAGTGGGTGGAGACTAACCCTGATGTTCAGATCTGTCTGTACAGAAACTGTGTCACTCTCTCTATTCCAAATAGTTGTGAGAACAGTTTATCAGAGGTTCCCTTTGCTGTACATGAAAGCAGCTGTCCACAGTTGATATTAGAGTTTGTCCTTAGCACCTGTCTCCAGACATTGTGGACATCAAGCCGGCCAACATGGAGGAGCTGACGGAAGTGATCACCTCAGCGGAGTTTCATCCCCAGCAGTGTCACACCTTTGCCTACAGCAGCAGCAAGGGGTCAATACGCCTCTGTGACATGAGACAGGCTGCACTCTGTGACAAACACTGCAAATGTAAGTATTGATAAAGGACATGATGGAGGTTTTATTTATTTACTGCAACATGAATAATAAAACATTTACAGGACAAAGGACATAACAGAGAAGATGAGACAACAAACATTAACAAAAGAGACAAAGGGATTATTCAGTTTAGTTTGTGTGTGAAAATGTGTAGTGTGGGTGTATCCAACTCTTTGCAGACTGATATTCAGTACATATTAAAGAAAAATAAAATTGAATCAAGGGTTAAATCAACAAGAGTGACCCCAGATTGCATACCCCAGCTCCTGGGGACATGGCGAACATCCCCTAATACTCCTGGTTTGTTAATGGTGGGCAAAGATGAATGGGTAAATAAGACAGCTTGATAGAAAATGGATGCTTGGAATAATAAAATAACAATAAAAGAAAAAATAATAAAGCAATTTTGATCAGATAAATACAATATATACATATGCATACAGATATTTATGCACACCCAGATATATATGTATACACATACTGTATTCATAAAACTAAAATAAATGAAATTAACAAATCAGTAAATATTAGAGAGAGAGAGGAAAGGGAAAAAAGAAAGAAAAGAAGGGGGGGTTGGTTATATTTTCTGTTAATCTAGTTTGATTGATAGGCGTGACACACTCAAAACAGTAGCATGGACAATGACAAATGAGGACTAATAACAGTAACAATAATGAAGTAAAAGCTGCTTGTTATATTTCTAGGAGTTTGTGGGAATGTGCGTGGCCTCAGCCCCTGCTATCTGGTTTAAATTAAAAGTGGTTAGAAACAGATTCAGTGTCAGTAAAAGCTGATATATTATCTTTATGGGTGGATGATATTTTCTCTAGTGTGATGTGTTCTATGAGAAGGCTGGTCCAGGGGTTTATGTGTAATGAGTTTTTAGATTTCTAGTTTAGAAAGATTGTTTTTTGGCAATAGTTAGTGAGATAAGAAGTGGGTTTTTATATTTAATTGGTAGGTGGTTGACTTCTATGATATTACCAAGCAGGCAGAGTGACGGGAAGGGGGGGATTCTACAGCTCAAGATGGTGGAGAGTTTCTCTGTCACCGCTACCCAGAGGGAGTAAACGGGTTGACAGGTCCAAGTAGTGTGGAAGTAATCATCAGCGAAACACAAAGTGCATTGTGAGCAGGTATCTGTGTCAGTGAAACCCATTTTAAACATTTTACCTTGTGTGATCTGAGTCCTGTGAATGGTCTTGTATTGTATAAGCTGTATGTTTATATTGGTAGTCATGGAAAAGATATTATTACAGATCTCGGTCAAGAAGTTGAGGCTGGGGGGGGGGAGCGACAAATCTTTTTCCCATTTAGTCATTGGTATTGTTATTGTTATATTTGTATTTGACATTAGCTTGTGAAGTTCAGATATTATCTTCTTTGAGTCTGTAAACTTCATTGTTCATTGTTATAATTTTTATTCTAAGGTGTCTCAATGTCTATTTGTTATCAGGGAACTAGCAGTAGCACAACTAGCTGCCCTGTTTTATTATATTGAATTGTAACACGGAGTGGGCGAAAGGCGGAGTACACCCTGGACAAGTCACCACTCTATCACAGGGCTGACAAACACTGAGTCAGTTTATTTTATTTTAATCATTTTTCCCTAAAAATACTCAAATTTAAATATTTGGTCCAAAAAATTAAATTCGCTGAAACGACATCAAAATCATAATCTTCATGTGGCCTGGTAGTGCTATAATTATCATGATTAGTCGTGAGCCAAAAAAAAAAAAAAAAAGAAAAAGGCACAGGGTGTAAAAACTAAGTGTTAGAAAACAGAAGGACATATACACACAGCATCATGGTTGCACATTCACACTCAGTTTTTCCTCTTCGGCTCTGCCTTTGTGTAGCAGCCGTCCCTCTGCTCTACATGCCACAGCTGACAGCTCATCAATCAATGGCACTATGTGTCTCCAACAGTGAATGGCCTTCTCTAAAGCTTAACATCACATGCATTCGCTTTGGTCAAATGAATAATGAATACACTGACATTTTTGCTGGAAAAATCAATGGCTTTAGAGCAATTGCATTAGTCCCTCATGGACACACCTTGCTGTTCAATAATGTCAGTTATTTCCTCAGACATATTGATGCATTCACTGGACCGTGAGCTAATACAGCCTGTGGAATTTCACATGAGTGTTAAATTAAAAAATAAAAAAAAGTCTTTGGAATTGGACATGTACACACACAGAACTGGCAGGTGCTCTCGTAAGCCTCAGGCCAGGCCTGGTCATACAGACCTACTGTCTTACTGCACGAACATGTATGCTCAGAGCGTTGCACTTTATAATACCTTCCTCCCACACACACACACAACTTCCTAAACCTCCCACATAAACAAAACAAACAAACATATAATCATACCGCATCCCCTTACCTATAACTGTTGGAGGTTTCTGACAGAGCAAGGATGGATGGATGAGGGATGCAGGGACAGACAGGACAGAAGTGGCAAAGCTCTAAGCCCCAGGATAGAGGATGAGACCAAACAGCTCCCCTGCCATCTCCCCAGGGACCCTATTATACACCCCTGGAGCAGGGCAGGAGGGAGGGCAGGGACGCACACACATGCATATATACATACAGACTGTGCACATGCCCACTTATAAATAAATACTCACTCTATGGCACAAACACACACACACAAATCCACTGGGGCTCAAATGGGCCCAGCACTTTGACATTGATTTGTTTTCCTTATCCCTTCCTCATCCCCCAATTTTTTCATCTCCCACGCTCCATCTCTTGTTAGACTCCCCATTGACACATCACAGAGCTATTCTCCAGGTCCCAGCTGATGAGGAGAGAGGGTGAGGGAGGGGTGGAGGTATTTTTTGGAGAGATGTAGAGGAGAAAGGGTGGGAGGAATGGAGGAGAAGGAACAATAACTTGACAGCTAACAATGGAATGCCTGGCTCTTATCCTCAGTGTGCTGGCCTGTGCACAGATCAGCAGCTGCCAAAATCACTATGAATCATAACCAATATTTACCCAGCATGCTGACCCACGACTGTCTCCCTAAACACACAGAGGAATAATCCTGTGAAGAGATGCAGCTGCTGCAGTGAAACCCCCGCATCCAAGACATGGTTGTGGATGTTACTGTTCACTGATAACAGCCCCCACCACCCAAACAAAATCTATTCTGTGCATTTATTTCTGTGAATGATTAAAAGACTTGCAAAAGGAAAAAAATTTCTCTCCTATGGTGAGAAATATGTTTTCTTTGTCACATGATAAATGCTTTATCCTCATTCTTGCTCACAGACTTTGAAGAGCCAGAGGATCCTTCCACCCGCTCCTTTTTCTCTGAAATCATTTCATCCATCTCTGACGTGAAGTTCAGCCACAACGGGCGCTATCTGATGACAAGGGACTACCTCACTGTCAAAGTGTGGGACCTTCAAATGGAGAACAAACCACTAGAGACATACCAGGTACACTTTTTTTCCATGCTTTTTATGTGCCTGGTGGACAGCTAGATGATTCTTAGCCGGTGAAGTCAATAAATAATGGTTAGGCCCAGATCAAATCAAAGCTTATTGATTTCAGACTAATCACTCAACTTAATCCTGTTTCACTGTCACAGTGTCATCTATAGTGATTTTCCCAGGAGAGGGTTATTGAGCAGACTGTAAGAAAAGACAAATAGTGTCAGTGCAGACCTGAAGGGCAAAACCTCTCACTGTGTGGCCCTGGGGTCAGATCCACACTGTCTGATCGGGGGAAGCGATCTTAGGACAGGTCATGATTGATAAGACCATCAACCAGGCTCAAGGGGTTCTCTGTCCAATTCAAGCTCTGCTTCCACCTGCTACCTAACATCTTAGTATAGGTCACCAGTTCTGAAGGGATTACTGAAAGTAGAACATCCGGTGCTTACGGCTGTGTAGTTGTCTACTGAAAGGGAATATAGGAATTTTAAATCCTGTAGAAATGTGTTCAGATAACCATGTTTTTGTTTGTTTTTCAGGTTCATGATTATTTACGGGGCAAACTTTGTTCTCTGTATGAGAATGACTGCATTTTCGACAAGTTTGAGTGTGTCTGGAATGGAACGGACAGGTGAGATTTCTTTCCATCCACAGCCTTCAGTTTATCATTCCATCCACAAGTCCATCTGACTTGATTACCCTCCACTCTCCTCTGTTCCTCCTTAGCGTCATAATGACTGGCTCCTATAATAATTTCTTCCGAATGTTTGACCGAAACACCAAACGTGATGTCACACTGGAAGCCTCCAGAGAAAACAGCAAGCCCAGAGCCATTCTCAAGCCTCGCAAGGTACATCCATCCTCATCAGTACAAGTTATCTTAGATCAAGTCAAAAACAACTGGGCCTACTGTGGTATGATACCTGAGACTCTCTGCAGATTAATTTCTTTAAACAAAAACACAAAAATTCAGTTGTTGCACCTTCTAAAATGTGAAGATTTGCTGATTTTCTCTTGATTTGTATGACAGTTAAACCAACTATCTCTGGGTATCTTTAGGTATCTCATGTGAAATTACTTGTTTCAGGCACCCACAGCTGCACTAACAGATATTTTATATGAACAATGGATCAAATGACTACATATAAGGTAAATGAAGTTGCTTATAATGATGACGCCACGGACAATTATCAGGTGATTCAGCAGTTCGTCTCAGCTCTATGGAGTAGAGCATGGATTGGGCCACATATTTAGATAGATAGATAGATAGATAGATAGATAGATAGAAATACTTTATTAATCCCAATCTGGGAAATTGCATTGTTTCAGCAGCGGTTCACGCTCAATATCAAGCACACATACCAATAAATAAAATAGATAACCCACTAAAATATAAAACAAATAAAAATACATTAAAAGTTAAAAACAAACCCAACACAATCAAGTACATATACATAATCACATGATGAATTAAACATATGCAAATCTATACAAAGGTGATTCAGTATACAATTACTGTCAATCCAGGAATCGTCTAATGCTCCAAGATGATGTATTGTACAAATTAATGGAGTAAGGCAGGAAAGATTTGCTATAACGTGCTTTACAGCAACGAAGCTCTCTAAATCTTTTAGAGAAGGAGCTCCGCTGTCTATCAAGCACAAATCGGAGAGGATGGTCAGGGTTATCCATAATTTATAAGAGTGTGGCGTCTGAACCTGGCTTGGACCAGACAAGCTTATAGTACAGTATACAATGTCTGAAAATGACCTGAGTCTGACACAGTTGAGCTTGTATGGTCTTTTCCCCCTTATCATTAAATGAAGGAGACATTTACAGTCATGTAGTCTAAAGTTTGACCTAAGTGTCTAAACAGGACCTGAATCTGAACATAATTTCTGTCTAAACCTGGCCCAAACCCTCGGGTACTGACGGGCCCTGACAGGCTCAGTTCAGCTATCCACACTCTAGTATGGAGTGTCTTAGCATTCTCAGCAAACCATTGTGTTAGATAACCATTGTTTTGTTTTTATTACCCACAACTCTACTATTTTGATTCACTGTCATTGCTTTCATTGACCTATTTTCCAGTTTCAAGAGGTTAAATAGTGGCTGTGACTATCTACCTGTGCTGCAAGCTACATTCCCAAGCACCAAACAGCAGGCACAGTTAGCAACTAACAGCTGAAGGCTCAGATAGTTTCCACAGGAGTTAGCAAAGACCAAAATAAGCCTAAAAGAAGAGTGAATATTTGAATTACATTCACTAGGTGAACTCAAACACAGTGCCAAATGTATGCTAATGTAGCTGTGTTGTCTGGGTGTACTGTTTAATAACACATTTGCCATTTGCGACTGTGGTTCAGTGGGTAGAGCAGTCCTCTCCCAACTAGAGGGTCATAGGTTTGAATCTTGGTGCCTGCAGTCCATGTGTCAAAGTGTCCTTGGGCAAGACACTGAACCTCTGGTTGCCCCCGATGGTTAGAGCCATCGGTTGAGTTGGCGCCGCAGATGGCTGCTTTGGTTCTGTACCAGAAACAAGTTCCTTGTCTGTAACATACTTGACCAATAAAGGTGATTATTATTTATCCAGTTTAAAAGGTGATAATCCATCATTTCTGTGTTTACAGTTTGTTCCACTGCCCTTAAATGGCCAAAAATCAAAATAAAATCCATCAGTGTTTACAGTTTGTTCCACTGGCCTAAATGGCCAAAAATCAAAATAAAATCCATTATACTGTTTTAACATTGCTGAAATCTAATTTTAACTGCACAATCTTTATCCTTGTTGCTGTCTTCCAGGTATGTGTAGGTGGAAAACGGCGCAAGGATGAAATCTGTGTAGACAGCCTAGACTTTAGCAAGAAGATCCTTCATACCACGTGGCACCCACTTGAGAATATCATTGCTGTAGCAGCCACCAACAACCTCTATATCTTCCAAGACAAGGTCAACTAAAGGGCAGTCTGTCCATGGTGACCCCTGACCCCAACACATGTGAAGGGCTGCAGGGAGAGGTAGGGCTGGAGAGAGATGGAGCCCTTATCTCTACATCCTTCTCCTCCTCTCCCTACCTCTTATTGTTGCTGGTCTTGAATTTTGCCACTCTGCTGAGGAAGTGCAGAGTTGGGTATCCAGTGACGGAAGTGGTGAGGTAGACAGTATGAATTCTGGGAAGTGGGAAATGGATAAACACCTGGATACAACTTGAGGAAAAGGGTTCCTCAAAATCAGGAATGGACTTACATTCTTCAATTTGACTTCTTATTTAAATTATTTAGCCATGTGGACACCTGAAGGAGTGAATCCTGTGCATTTATGCAACAAGGGGATTGCTGCATGAATAAAATGATGTAGCAGCCCTCTGGACCCTGAAGAAAAAGGTGGATGTGGGTGCACCGGACATAAAACAAAGCACACAGATGGTTTTTCCCTGTCATGTCACAACAGTGCCCCCTCTCTTTCAATCTGTTCATGCTACACTGCATGGGATCGGAGTGTTGAACACTGCAACCTGCTGCAGAATTCCTTCAGGAGAGGAAGCGACTTCATCTCTGAAACCTGAAAGTGAGTTTTCTCGGGTTGTGACACAACACGGTCAGTTTTTCTAGAACCAATTCTGTGTCTCTCTGCTGAGACTGCTGTAGTCTGTAACGTGAATAAAGCCCTTCCAGGCTGTCGATGGTTTTATTTAATGCTGTTTTATAGAGTCTTTCTCTTGGTTAGTGAGTCTGTTTAGAAGCTGTGGTGCCTTTTTTTGGTATGTGGGGGTTTGGTGTAGTGGGTGTTCAGGGGTGGGGGGGACTGAGTCCATGGCAGGAGTATGAATGTTTCAAATGAAATGTTAGGAGCTTTTTGTTTGTTTTTTGGTTTGTTTTTTTGTTTGTTTGCTGTCTCTTTCTCTCTTTTTATAAACTAAAACAAAAAAGCTCCACTGAGATCCAAAGTGGACAAAGAAGTGCTTGAGGAAACGTGGTCATGAGTGCATTATAGCACAGACTACATGCTTGCAAGTTCAGGTGAGGATCCTGTGATATATATAAAGTTATGGTTGCGCTTAACACAAAGCTTCCAGTCTGACATCACTGGTTTGCAGGAGACATGCCAAACCTACAGTAAAATATTTGGCATAATTTGTTCTAAAAAAGATTTACTCACCATGTTTATTTGAATAGTACTGAAGATGATCTGTAGATGGTAGAACTGTAAACTTTTTATGTCAAATGTTTTTGAAAGTCAACCTGAGATTTCTTTGTATAACATAATGCTAGCCTAGCTCTTGATCTTGTTTTTGCATGTGTTGGATCTGAATCTGATTACTGTAAACTGACAGCCTGCATATAGTTATCTGAATGTCTACAGATCATCTGAGGCACTATACAAAATATTACTTGCTTTCTCCAGAAGGAGCCAATTTAAAAAAAAAAAGTTTCATGTATGATTGCTGTGGTGTCTGCCCACGTTTCTCCTCTTGCTTTAGATGGGTAACGTGGACCGGGTTGTATTTCAGCACTTGGCTCTGATCCATTTGGAAATCCTTACTGGTGTCAGATTTGTGTTGAGAACCAACTCCCATGAAGAAGAGCAAAGGTCTACATGAACTCTGTGAAATCAGGGAATTATTAAGTGTGATTCCTTTCAACAGTAGTGTCTTCTAAACAATATCCTTCATGACACTTGTAATTCAAATAACAAAACTTTTATAGCTCAGAATGTATTGAAATGAAATGAATTACCGTGCAGTCTTTATGCTTACTGGACTTTCTTTCAATAAAAAAAAAAAGAATTAAAGATGTGCAAGTTCAAATCCTGCATTGTTTGACCTCCTCGGTTTCCTGACTTAAACTGAATGTAAATCAGATGTTTTATGTCTATGTTAAGCCAGCGTGGCTGTTGCAAAGAATGGTGGAAACCTGATTTTCATCAACTGGACACAGTTGGCAGCTGATTACAAATTACTAAACACCAGCACATTTTAATTTCTTCTGATTTTTCATGTTGATCCAGCAGAAAACAGCCTCCAGATGAAGGCTACTGAACCACCCTATTAGCTTATACAACATAAAGGACAACACAAAAAAAAATTAAATTCATGTTACATTTGTAAAACGCCTTTGCTGTAATGGCAGTGATTTTGTACCATAAAGCCTTTAATCAACAGTTAAGCATCATTATTTCTTGACTCTGCTGAGAAAACCTCACTGTAATGAACACTAACACAAATTTGAAATCCACTGTGTCCACAGGTCGTACTGTGTGCATTATACAGACTTTTTCTAATTGGCTGTGGTCTACGCGCATTTTGTCACCCGGGGACCGCAGCTGTCAATCAAATAGCATCTTTATAACCAGCTGCAGCAGCTGCATCATTGTGTCTCTGGATAAACGCAGCAGACACGGACAGGAGCTGCACTGTGATTATAAATTATGATTTATCAATACGTTCTCGGATGGGATTATTATAAATTATAACAGAGTGGATATTTTCTAGACATCATTTGCAGAATCTCTCTTTAAAGTACTTTCGTGTATCAAAATCTTCTTCAGAACTTTTTTTCCCTTATCAGCTGCCTGCCTCTCACTTTTCATATATTTCTTTCTCACTATCATTTTGGAGAAGATGGATAAGATGAGTGGGAACAATGCTACAGTGGTGAACAGCTCAGTAGACAACTGGTCCTTTAATGAACGTAGCTCATTCCAACACCTGGACCCTGGGGACCTGAGGGTCCTGGTTCCAGCTATCCTGGGAGTCATCTGTGTCTTGGGTGTGGTTTGTAATCTCACTGCGATGGTAATCTTGTTCTCAAATTCTCATAGGGGCAAACTGTCTCTTGTCAGCTCCCTCATCTTCAACCTGATGTTTGCTGATGGGCTGGTGATGGCGTTTGTGGTGCCTTTCCGTGCTGCTTCCTACTCCAGGGCCAGCTGGAATCTGGGCTGGGTGGTGTGCAAGACAGCTGAGTGGTTCCTTCAGTCCTGCATGGCAGCAAAAAGCTTCACAGTGGCAGTCATGGCCAAAGCATGCTACCGCTATGTGTCCAACCCTACAAGGCAGGTGAGCATCCACCTGCGCTCCATCCTGGTGGTGCTCTTCTTCATCTGGCTGTCTGCCTGCTCTGTCACCATCCCTCACTGGCTGTTTGCCACGCTTCAGAGGGAGATCCGTGGCCTGGCGTGTGTGTTGATAATCCCTCTCAAAGCTCGGAATTTCATGTCTGTGTACATCAAAGCATACCCCCTGGGGGTCTACTGCGCACCTCTCTGCTTTGCCCTGCTGTATTTCTGGAAGGCTTATCGCCATTGCCGACACCGCTCCAGTAAGACTCAGAATCTGCGGACACAGATCAGATCCAGAAAACTCACCTTGATGCTATTCAGCCTCACATTAGCCTTGGCTATTCTGTGGCTTCCTCAGTGGGTAGTGTGGGTTTGGGAGCGTTATATAGCAGAGAAAGGAACTGAAGGAGTTCAGCTCCATATCTCTTCTCCTCCCCTTTTTCTAACCCTCTCAGCACAGCTGCTTACCTTCTCTCTGTCGCTGGTGAACCCTCTCATCATCCTCTTCCTCTCCGAAGAATTCAGAGAGGGCTACAGGGGGCTGTGGAGACGCCTCACCTTGCGTAAACAACCTCCACCAAAGCCAAAGCCTGGACCTCACAACCCTACCACTCTCCAGTCACCCTGCCCCAGACCAGAGACATCAGGCCAGCTGAGAGGGGAGAGGAGCCTTCCATCACGTTCCTGCGAAGATCCCAGCCTAGAGGTTCAGACCAAGTCGGAGCAAGATGCTGAAAAAGGAGGAGGAGAGAGAGAAGTAGACAGTGCGAGCCTCAAGGATGGGATTGTCTTACCTGATGTGGAACAGTTCTGGCACGAGAGGGAGACAGGATCAAAGACAGAGGAAAACGATCCTGTGCCGTGGGAGCATCAGAGCAAAGAGGAGAAAAAATAACAACCACCATCACAGCATCACATTCACTACACCCCTCACACATCAGTAGACCTCCGCTGAATGGACTCTGACTTCTGCACCATAAATCACTGGTATCCTGTCAGCTGTGTTTATGGTATTATTCAAAGGTAAGAAGTGCAGTCAGTGTGGACCATGATGGCAGAATACAAATAGACCAGTATCATCTCTATATATGATATTTTTGTTTAATGAGACAACTAGATTATTATTACTGCCAGGTCTTTTTTGGTGGCTGTAAATTAACGCTTCTGGGTGACTGTATAAATTCCTTACATAATTATATATATCCAGTAATGCATGTAGTGAATGATCGAGTAGTTTGCAGATTCCTTTACTTATTTGGACATAATATGCTGCAAGAAATCCCCTGAATAAAATAGATAATTTTCATAACTAGAGGTACTGTAAATGTCAACATTTTAAATGTGTTTTGCTCCCATGTACAAACTTTTTTGATATTGTATATACCCTTTTAGTATTACAAAGTGATGTGGGAGTCTTCAGTTTTTATGTGAAAGTGAATGTTTGTATTTCCTGTCCTCTTTTTGTGAGAGAGATTATTTTGTGCATAACTGTTGTGCATCTGTTTTCTCAGCTGTTTACACTAAAGACAATTCTAAAATAAAATGTAACATGTGTGTGATAAAATTGTGTTGTGGTGCCAAAAACAGATGTTCAGTCTTCCAAACACATGTTGGGGTACTGTAACTGATTAAATCAACTATACACACACACACACAGTAGAGTCTTAATGTTATGGACCAGTCACCACTGGGAGGTCTCCTACTGACAATGGGGGGTTAAATATATTTTCATGAGGGCATCCATTAGAACTACTATGGGTTCTAATTGGAGGTCTAAACTCAGTTGGGGTCATTTCAGTGGACTCACCTCTGTTGGAGTCTCATAAGGAATTCTCTCTTAAACATACATGATAGGCCAAAACCTCACAGTTAAAGAGCTAAACAACATGAGCTGGCTGGTGATCAACTTGTCTGTCTGCTGTAACAGCAGCTCAGCACTGAAATCTAATGTAAATACCACTACTTTTCACTCTCTTTTTATGAACATTACATACTGAGCTCTGCATTATAAAATGGGAGATCAGAAGAAAATTTATGATGTATGAGTCATTCCATAGTTACCTAACACGTCTCTTTCCTCCCTCCCCTCCCTTATGACATTTTCCTGCCATTAATCATTTATGTTGACCTTTAATTGCCAAAGGCAAGTACTTCAATCAGAGCAACACTTAACTATATAGCCCATCATCAGTCCCACGGGTAGTGACCTGGCCATAAACACCAGTGTCAAACAGCAATTCAATAACTTTTCACCTGAAATTTGAAGCTTCACTGTATAAATAGAGAAACGATTTATGTAAAAGTGAAATGACATGTGAACACTGGGGTCAACTGTCCCACTACATTATATGACCACTGGCATTTACTTTATTAGATGAGGCAGGAAATCTGCAGTTGTAGGATTTGAGCTAATTTCTAGCTGCTAATCACTGGCAGGACACTGGTACAACCCAGGCCATCACACATTAAAAGCCTTTTAAAGCTCTATCAGGGATATGGTACACCAGCCAGGTATACTAATTTATTTTTGCTTGATCAGACCAGGGACATGTGCGTGTTTGTATGTATGGTAGAATAGATGTGGTAATGGACAGAAAACCGCAATTTTCCAATGATACTGTCAATTAAACATCACAAGGAAAAACAACAATGGTTTTCCCAGAGACTTATCACTTATCTTTTACTCTATGTGCCTGTAGCGGTTGCATTAACTGATGTTATTTTAAGTGGGACAATAGACCCATGGCAGCCATTTTGATGTGAACGCACAGGTAATCACATGTGTTACTAATGACATTAATTCAGGCTCTGTACTTGAACAGAATAGAGTCTGAATCAATGTGATTAGTAACACCTGTGTTTAGCTGCGTGTTCATATCAAAATGGCTGCTGTGAAAAAGATCTGTAGCGTACGGCATCAACACACTTGCTAACTGTTTTGAGTGTACCTAAACTTATCACATACACCATATAATCAGAACTAAAACACATATGCAATGGCAGAAGGCACATGTAGTGCACTACTTACAACATAATGAGCAATTTAAGAAGCTTAATGGGTTTGGTTTAGCTTTGCCCAGATGCAACTTCAATCTAATCAGCAGAATGAGCGAAAACATGTGTGTGAAGAGCTTTTATAAGTGACACAGTATTGTTCCAGCTGGACCTCCTTTGGTCAGTGTGACTAAGGACCTTTTGTCTTACTTCCAAGCTGTAGTGCCTCATTGTGTAAACTCTGCTGCTGGCCACACAGCGTCTATTAAACAATTATAGTAATAATAGTTAAATGTGGTCCGTACTTGGTATTAGTCATTTTTTGTGGAATGTTTTTTATTTAGAACAGAAGGACCAATAAAAATGAAAAACTGGTGGAAAAGGGAGTGAGATAATCAATATTACATGTAGAAAAACAACTTAGGCTTAATTAGGTCATTATACAAGGCAGGGGAGCTTTCAGCAGTGAGTTCCCCTCATAACTGCCCTCCTGGCTGTGCCCTCCCCCCACTGTGAGCGGGGGAGGGGGGTGTCACCCCTGCCTTTTATCCCCTCAGCCAATCAACATCACTAATAAGTGAAACTCCATAGTAAGACACATGCTAGCTAACACTAATTATGCACAGCAGGAGAGACTGGCTGCAATTAAGCCACATGCTAGTCACAGCTACCTTCACCTCCTCTTGGTCCCGTAGAAGATCACCTGGCTCTTCAGTCCGCTGAGAGTCGACCAGGGAGTGTGTGTGTGCGTGCATGTTTGTTTTTGTGTTGGAGGAAGGTTGGTTCAGGGGGTCTGGCCTTGGTATTTAGCACTCTTTTGATTAGAATAAATCAGACAGCTTTCATCTCAGTGAAGGATGGGGAGATGGAAAGGGCAGGCACCTTTCAGCATTTCCAGCAACACTAACAGGGGGTGTCATTTAACCCCATACATACACATTCAATTTATAGTTAATTTTTTTTTTAAACGGTTAAAAGGGACATAGGGAAAGGCACAAAATACTAGTTAAACCTGTGGCAGCTTAAGTTTACAGATCTGCAATGACACAACCACAAAAGAAAAAGTTTCCACCTAAATGTGAATCAAGGAAGTATTAAAAATGCACTATTTCCATTTGGCATTCATCTGTTTATTGTTGTAGACTAGATTACTGACAATAAAACAATGTGACAAGTTACAGCTATGTTCACTTAAAATAAATGCTTAATGAAAACATGCTGGTGAGTTTTACAATTAAAATAAGTCTGTTCTTGTGAGTTTGGTCAGTCCAGCAAATGCACTTATATTATTTTAAAGCTGCTATAATCACTTTTAACAATAATGACTATTGTGAAAGGTGTTGCTTGTAGTAATAAGCCCAAAGAGAATTTTCTCCCGGCTCTGCTGTTCCCCTTTAGCTCTTCTAGCTCATGGATTTTGGTTTTTAGGCTCACAGCTATACTGTTTTGATTTAGTCTTAAGGCTCTAATCAGGTTTTTAGAGAGAGAAGGCAGCTGTTTTCACAGAATAAGCCCTGATAAACCCACTTTACACTACCCGTCTGTCACCAAAAGCAGACAAGGCGATTGCGACTAACTGGTGAGTGGGTCATTTAGCAGCGACAGAGATTTCCCTCAGTAGCTGCTGGACACCAAAACAAAAGGATAGTAAATAACAAACTTGGATTCTTCAGGTGGCCACAAACAAGTTTCTAAAAAAAAAATACCAGTGTTGCTCCATATCTGTAATTTAACCAGTTTTCTTACAGGCTCTCCATATCAACTTTATGTTGTTTACAGGTTGTTGCACTGCCCCCAGGTGGATAAAATATAAACTAAAATTAAAGAGTATGGTTTTATAAGTTATAAAACAAAGATACTGTGATATAATTTTTGTTTCCCAGCTGACCTATTTTTTACCCATCACATCAACAGAAACTGAATCTCTTTCGGTTTTTGTCCTTCTGCCCTGTCTCCTTTCACTATCCCTCCGCCCATCAGATGTCCTCTGACTTTCCTGCTCTCCTGTTCACCTGAGTCTCAGATCCACCTGCTCACGTTCCAATCACGACTTTCCCCACCTACCTACACACCTGTTCCCATCTCCCTCATTAGAACCCCTGCACACCAGCTCTTTTGCCTCAATGTTGCCTTATCAGTAAGTTCTGTTTATTAATCTACAAAGTAAGTGTTTAAATCCTGGTATGAACACAGTCATGCTGTTTGTATTGACAAAATACAAAGAATTACATTTATTGTTGTATGTTTTTACTTTTCCATATGTTCATTTGAATTCCAGTTGCAGATACAGTGTTGCACAGTGCCTGAGTTTGCATAGGTCGGTGTAGCTAGGAAAGTAAAACATGCCAGCTGACAGACTGTAATTCCATATTACAGATAAAACCGGTTCATCCCCCAAGCAGTAGCTTACAGTCATGTGACACAATAGCAACTACATGGTATTTTGGTCCTGAGGGAACTTGCACTGAACAGTTTTAGTGACCACTTTAGACACATATATTCAATGATTCAAATTTATGATGCAATTTTCAGATGTTTGTTATTTTTAAATAAAACTCTGGCTTACTTTAGTTCCTACTGTGAAATTACTTGAAATATTGGCCTGGACAAAGGCAAGTTCATCACTGATTGTCAGTGACACAGCTGAGAAAAGTTAAGTGTTTATTCAAATGATCACCTTAGAGTGATACTTTACCAGAACCCTTTCTAGTATCAAGTACTCATAGGGTTGAAAGTGGCTATTACTAGTTGGTGCTTCACTGAAGGATGTAACTACACTGATCAGCCACAAAATTAAAACCATGTCTAATACTGTGTAGGGTCCCATCGCTTTGACCCATCAAGGCACGGACACAAAGGCGAAGATGTCCTCTGGTGTCTGACACCAAGACGTCAGCAGCAGATCCTTTAAGCACTGTAAGTTGGGAGGTGGGGCCTCCGTGGATTGCACTATTGTTCTCAGCACCTCTCACAGATGCTCAGTCAGACTGAGATCTGGGGGGTACTGCACAAAGCCGGGATTTCCCAGTTATCCAAAATCATTTTTAGCAAAAAAATTAAAATGCCAAGTTCAAGGAATTGCCTTGTCACTTTGATCAACAGCCTACTTTTCATTTTTTTTCATGAACTACTTCAGCCTCATTCACATTTACATTAATATTTTGATTTGATTTGATTTATTTATTCTTTCAAGCATGTAAAGACAGTTGATATATCAACACACATAATTTTACACATATCCAACAAATGCTAATCCAATGGTGATTGTTATTAATATTCATGGTATATTTCCTGAGTAACATATGGTTTCGGCTAAGAACAGTGGTTAGAAAATGTGTATTTTAGGCAACTTAATGCATTCAGTAGGTCCGCTACCACCTGCCACGCTTTTTCTCACTGTCTTATTACAGTAGCCATGTTTCCATTTTTACAGATTGTCATTTTGGAGATGCTCTGACCAAGTTGTGTAACCATTACAGTTTGGCCCTTGTCAAAGTCACTGAGATCCTTAAGTGGCTTTCAGATAGGATGCGGCGGGTGCTTCGCTCAGCTATCCAACCCATTCATATCTGTGCAATGCGTGATACAAGAACGTATCTGTGCTGCGCTGTGCTGAGCATGGGTATCATCCCTGCACGCCGCACTGAAGTTAAAAAAAGTTCAACTTGGCTGCAGCGCTCTGTGAGCACACCTATCTGAAAACGGCTTTAGGCTTCAACTTCAAAAACTGACTGTTCACTTGGTGCCTAATAAATCCCCACCCCTGACAGGTGCCACTGTAACAAGACAATCAGTGCTATTCACTTCACCTGTCAGTGGTTTTCATGTTGTGGCTGACCGGTGTATTTTTTTAACACACACTTCCAGGGATGTGTACTTGACACTAAAAAGAATATTAAAAGTGCAACACTACAACAATATCAATGCTGTTTTTTAACTTGTCTTGTCTTGTCTAGTGAAAAGTCCATTATTATTCACACATTAAAAAGCACTTCTCTGTTGGCATCTTTTCTTAATATAAGATAACCTTTTACAGCTGATGTTCTTTCAGAGGCATCATGTTTAGTACATAGGCTATACTGTAAACATTTCTTTGCTTTGTGAATAAATACTCCAGGAACAGTGTTTCAACACTGCTTACACACACGGAATCATTTCACATTTCTATTAGCATCAGGATCAATAATCACAAAAAAAGTTCTTAAATTCACAGCAGATGCAAAGGGCTCATTTGAAAAACACTAGTTAAGCCTAAATCTTAGACCTAAAACATACTTGTTGTCATATGTTCCACAACCTGCTGTAAAACGGGTTTCCCTGACTGCAAATCAGTATAAATATACTGCAGTTCACAGACCAAGTGTGTCAAGTTTTCATCTTATCCCACTTCCACATTTTCTTGGCCAGCTGCTAAATAGACAGCTGAGAAAAGGCTGTCTGTTACTGGCAATAAGTGGTGGTCCTCAGCATCTCCCTGATATCTTAGTTTAGGTTCTAAAAGAGGCAAAGAAATAAGAAGTTAAAAAGAGGTTTTCATAGATTGACATAAAAAAAAAGTGAGATGAATTACCTGTTTTGATTTTTCTGTCCACTAGATGGAGCCAAAGCAGGTTTTCCCCTCCGCAGGCCATTTGTGGTAACCTGTAGGCCTTTCACTTGATGTTGTTGCTACATGAAAATGACAAGTTAAACATTTCATGTTCACTTCACAAAAACAACATCTGCCTATAGCTCTACATAAAAACATATTCACCACTGAGGGCATGTTGAGAGGACAAGGTGGTGGAGGCCTGTTCGGGGGGTCTGGTCGAACTTCAGGTCCTGTTGAAGGCGATGGGTGGCTTTTGGTGTTCAGGGTAGATAAAGGTGGAGGTTTTGATCGTGGTGGAGGAGCCTGGTTTCGCCTTTGCTCGGTCAGCTGTGCGGATTTAAAGGAAGGTGGAGTGTATGGCTGGGGAGAGTACTGCCTCTGAGGAGGAGCCACAGGCTGGAAGTGAGGCTGAGGTGTCTGCTCCGTCTGCCCTGCAGCATATGCAGGTAACGGAGGAGGCTTCACTGCTGGACGCACAATAGCATTTCTTGATTGAGCTGAGCAAGACGGGCTCGGATGAGGAGAGGATTTCCCCTACAGGAGAACACAAGCAACAGTGGTTTATTCTAATATTCACAAATGACAGAGCACTATGGCACTTTTTGGGTCATCATGGGTTTCTGTACCATCTGGTCTGACTTCTGTTTCTGTAGCAAGAATGTTGGATTGACATGACCATTGGTGCAAACAGCCTTGTCCCTGTCTGCAACAGAACAGCTGTGGAAGAAAATAGAATTAGAAATTCATAAAGCAAACACACTGCCTACAGACTGCTGTTCAGTATAATGCCAGTTATTACTTTTTAATACTTTAAATGGACTTACCTTGGCACTGGTGGTGGAGCTGAAGTTTTCATTGGTTGGAGCTTATGTCTGTAGCAGTACCATAGTCCAGCAGCCAAAGCAAAAACCACAAAGAGCAGCAGGATGAGGACCAGTAGGACTGGAAGGTGGCTGCCTGCTGGATGGAATATGAAGTAAACAACAGTCCAAAAGAAGTATAATTAAAAAGAAATACTTTAAACTTTTAAAAAAAAGGTTTCTCACTGTGGCCGATGACAGTTCCACTGTCTACGCTTCCACCTGATCCCTTCTGGTCACACAGAGGAGGAGCCCAGCCCGAGTCACAGTGGCAGTTGTGTTTGTTGTTACACAGCTGGTGAAAGAACATAGTACCCATTAAAGTTATCAATGCTTAAATCTGTCCCACTGACACGCAGGTGCTGGGGTGAATTACATTTTAGAAGTACTTCAAAATCATGTCCACAAATAAATCTAGTATCAGAGCTACTGCAAGGTATTTTCAGTCATTTATAAGCGCCTCACAACAAGAAGGTTTCAGATTCGAGCCCCGGCCGACCCGGGGCCTTTCTGTGTGGAGTTTGCATGTTCTCCTGTGCCTGTGTGGGTTCTCTCTGGGTACTCCATCTTCCTCACACAGTCCAACGACATGCAGCTTAGGTTGACTCTAAAATTGCCCCTAGGAGTGAGTGTGGTTGTCTGCCTCACTCCCAGTGCCAGCTGGGATAGGCTCTAGTCCCCTGCAACCCTCTTCAGGATAAGCGGTTTAGATAATGGATGTAACAGATTGTTTTTACATTGTGTTGCTAATTTTAACTAAGCAAAGAATTTCAATACTTATTGCACCACTGCCAATGTTGTCATTCTCCTTATTAGTGGAACAGCAGCCAGACCTTCCCCAACACTCCTAGGAAATCCATCTCACAACAACGTTCCTCACTCATAGAAACTTACCCCGTGTCCATGGCACTTGGCATTGCACTCATCAGCTCTGAGAAAAGATGCATTGCGGCATGTTCCATCAAAGCAAATCTGTTAAATAATAATAATAATAAAAAAAGCAAGGCATGAGGAACAAAGCAAAAATCAGAGTGGTAGAATTTTACTTCAGGAAAATCACAAATGACAGCAATTAAATGTGGATATTTGACATCTCAAATAAATACTGAAGTAAAAAAAAAGTTAATCTCCATGAATCTCACCGAACCATCACCGCACTTGGTGCCCGCCATGACCAGTCCTGGGTCCAGCGTGTCTCCCTGTGCCTCCTTCTCTTCCTGCCACACATGTGTTCCCACACACTGGATCCTTTGGTTGCCCACAGTGATTGTGGTTTTTATGGCAACAGCGTTGTCTTCAATGGACTTGGCGGCTAAAGTTAAACACTGGATTTTCCCACATTTTGCATCCCTGGCATAAATTATAAAAATGGTATCATGCATCAATGGGAAGTAAACACTCACTCAAAATGCTAAAAATTTGACTGTGAAGGAAAGTCAGATACCCTCCTTGAACTGAGGTACTAGATGAATCAAAATGTTTTGGTTGTCACCTGTCCTTGCAGCTCCTGTATTTCCCAAACTCATCTTTGCCACAGTTCCCATACATGTCCCCAGCTTCGTTTACCTTCTTAAAACACAGGTCCGGAGCTGGATGACTATCTGTGGTTGGAAGAAAGGCAATGCACAAAAACCTATAAATAATGCTGCACACACACAAACTCAGTAACATGTAAACATACTGTAAATGCATGCACAGTGTGTTATGTGACCAGATAGTGTCCTCTACTGTTCTGTTCGGCCCCCGTGGTACAAGGGCTCTCCAGAGAGAATGTGAACACTGTCCAATAACAATAACATACCCAGCAGCCTCTCTGCTTCAACATACAAAATGCTTTAATATAAATTATGAAATGATCTGATGGTAAACATTTTGCTTATATCCAACTTTATGAGCAAGGCTATATTAAAACGATTCTCTCCATAAACATTATATAATCCCATCATACTATTAAAACTATAGAACACTGCTGTATGATTCTACTTTGTTATTCCACTCAAAACCCATGCCATTTTTTTGATGAACAAAAGGAAAAGCCAACACAAAGTGTCTCAGTAAGGAGTTGGGCCGTCATGTTCCACCAGAACAGCTTCAGTGCACCTTGGCATTGACTGTCCAAGTCTCTGAACTCCACTGGAGGGATGAACACCATTCTTCCAAAAGATATTCCCTCACTGGGTAGTTTGATGATGGTGGTGGAGACGCTGTCTAACACATCACTCCAAAATCTCACATAGGTGTTCAATTGGGCTCAGACTGTGAAGGCCACAACATACAATATGATTCAGATCATTTTCATACTCATCAACCAATTCAGTGACCCCAATTCTGTGTCGCCCATCAGTAGACACTCTAAAGTCTTTCAGTTATGATAAACTATGTAACTGTACTTGGTCAAATAAGAGAATAACATTAGATTGGACTGTGGAATAATGTGATCTTTAAAGTCAGATTTATGGGATTCTAAATGCTTTACTGGAAATCAAAAATTGGTATTCCCCAAATATATTCCATGCTGGAACAAAATGTGGACAGGTTATAAATGTCCAGTTTACCCACCTCGTCCCCACAGTGACAGACACTGCTGCTCCAGGGTCAAACACATGCCGGTGTAACAGTAGGCCTGTCCGCCTGCACATGACGCACCATCCAGCAAATAGAAGTTAGCAGGACAAGATTCTGCCTTCCCATCACAGTACTCTGGCAGGTCACATGGCCCCGAGGGAGCGCGGCACAGCACCCCTGGGCTCTTCAACTAAACGGGGACAATAAGTTTAAGAAACACTAGAACAAAGAATCAAAGAAAAAAATTCACTGATGCAGGTGCTACAGTGTTGATCTAATAGTAAGACTTTGCTCTGAGGATGCATTCTTCATGGGAGGCAGGACTGGTTTTTGTGTTGCACTTTGTTTACATGACCTTCAGATTGTTCTGTTAGTACCTTGCAGTTGTCACAGCAGACACCATGGGCACACTCGGCTTCAGCTTTCAGAGTGCAGTTGTTGGCATTACAGCAGGGGCTGGTGCACTCCTACACAAAGAAGTGAGTTGTAGTTCCTGGCAAAAACATCCAAGATAAACAATCCTGAGACATGTCACAAACACACACTGACCTCTTCTTCTCCACAATCACATTCTTCTCCATCCTCTAGGTAACCATTGCCGCAGCGCTGCCCTCCATACATGGCTCTGGTGTTGGGCAAGTTGAAGAGACACTTCCCCCCTCCAGAGCTCAGGTAACTCTTCAGCTCCTTCTGGTTACAATCATTAAATACACGTGGAAATGGGTGTCTGGAAGAAGCACAAATACAGTATGTAAATCATGTTTTTCTTTTGTTTCTTAGCTATAGCCAACAGCTTTTTTAGCTAACCATATACAGTATATGATAGTAATTTGGGTGTTGTACCCAGTAGCAGCGGCCATGATGCAACCCCCATCCTCTGCTCTTGCCTGACAGCAGCCTGGGCTGTCATGGTTCATGCCAAAGTTGTGGCCCATCTCATGCGCCATAGTGGCTGCAACACCAACAGCTGACTCTGAGTGGTCCTATAGTGAGGAGGGGAGACAAAGATCTACTCTTTAAGATGCATGCTGATGTTCCATCCCAGTAACAGACAAAAATTAGAACCTATTTCCAATAACTATTAACTAATTAACAGTAATTGTGTTTGCAGAAAATGGTGCATGTTGCTTTTGTTGATAGTAAAGTGATGATGTCTCCTGATGGGTAGAATTTCTTGATTTACACTTGATGAAAAGACCTTGGACTGATGTTTGTTTACAGTTGTCCCTCACCGTATTCACTCCACCAGACTGGTAGTCGGAGCACATGGCTTTGAGAGGTGCCAGGCCGATGGTGGTGCCCTGGAATGACGTCCCCCTGGAGACAAAAATGCCACTGCTGATTAGCTCCAACTGGACAACTGCTGGTTGTCATTGTCTCACACAGTGAAGATGAACTCAAGTGAGTGATCTGCCCCATGGAGGCAGAGAGCTTAAAGGAGATAGTGGAACTCCAGTGTCGGAGAGACTGAAGAATGACAACTGGTCTAGAGAGTGAGCGACACTAACGTGATGAGCTGAGCATTGTCATTTGGGAATTCACGGAGCTGTTTGCGTCTCCAGGACAGGAACGCTGCCAGAGTGCCGTGTGGGTTATCCGACACATTGATCATGTCCTGGCTGGTCCACACCTCCAATCCAATCAACGCCACACGGATGTTCAACGCCTTGTAGTACTGTGGGTGTGGGCAGACAGGAACAAGTATGTAATTTTAACACTAACAACTAAATATAGGTGTGACAAACTTGAGTGTCAGTTTGTGGTTTTTGTGTTTCACATCATGTTACCTTGTCAACCAAGTTTGCAGCTTCCAATAGTTTCAGTTTGGTCTTCGTGAGATCACGGCCATGCTTTTCAAACTGAAAATAAAATCACCCACATGGTAGACTGAAATAGACACAACCACACATACCCACACTTATTTTTACATTTTTGCAAACCTGAAAAGGGACTTTTAAAAAAAAAGGATATGAATCAGCAATCTATATATGCTTACTTAGTTATTTACCAAGTTTTCAAATAAATAAACTATAAATAGACCGATGGGTGCAATCGGTTTCCATATTTGGTTTTATTAGACTAATGTGTAAGGTTCATTAGCCACTATATAAGGTCATAGCAGACAATGAAAGATGATGCTGTGTTCCCATAGTTTCATGATAATTAATTCTGCTCACATGCAGTAACTGGCATCACACACAAATGGCTGCATCCTTTAGGGGATAATTCTGCTCACATGCAGTAACTGACATCACACACAAATGGCTGCATCCTTTACTCCCACATTTAAAGGTATAATAAAAAAATGTTCCTGTCTGGTTAAAAGGGGAATAAATATGAGCATGTCCACAACTGAGGCCTCACCTCAGCCTTGTCTGCCACTAGCAGCAGCTCTACATACTTCATATTCTGGCTCAGGTCCCTTTTTTCCTGGAAATGACAACAGAACAGTTTAGCACAGAATAAGTAGCAACCATATTGTCATGCTCTGTGCAAAACTATTTTTCAGTCACATGGTTACTCTTTGTCCTGTCTGAACTCACTCTCATATTCCGTGATGACATAAATCCATGGATGAAGTCATTAAGCCCCTCCTTGTGCTCCTTGTTGCCACGGTGATGCAGGCAGCTACCACTGGGAAGGTGGAGACTCTCAGCTCTGAACACAGCATGCTGCTGAGCATCCGTGGAAGCAGGAACAGGCTCTATCACATAGCTGATGCTCGAGTTCAGAGAAATCAGTCCCCTGGGGAAACAGGGCAAAGTGCTGATGGTTCCATCCAATTACAGATTGAGGAAATGAATGTGGATCAATGATCACAAACATTGTCAGTAAAAAAAAACCCAAAACATCTTTTTAAAATCTTAAACTAGAAGATTACATGCCATTTCCACCAGTAATTACCACATGCATTACAATGCTTTCAATCTGAAGCATGGGGAAAACCATATGGCCGCATGTCGAATCAGACTTTAGTCAGACTTTAGTCTGATCCGACTTGTCTCAGGTGATTTACTAGTGTATATAAATGAAGGCCTGCTGGGACAGACAGAGCGATACTCAGTCCTCTGGCTTCTTCACAAAACCATTCATGAGCACAGATGTCTATACACAAACACAGAAACAGGTCGAGCAGCTGTAAAAAACATCTGGAAAGGTCAAACGCCCACATGCCAGACTCCCTCTGTGCTGTGCTTGCATTTCTCCAGAGAATCTACATTAAAAAGACATATTAATCTACTTTCCGTTCAGATGCAGAGCAACGAAGCAGCAAAACCCCACATATGGCTATGATTTCTGTCAATGCTCTGCAGTCCCCTCTCTCTCTTCCGTCTCTCTTCTCTGAGGATGTATCAGCTGCTCTGGAGCCACACCCGGAGAAAACGCAGAATCTTCATACTAAACTGTACTCAGTGACCCAACACTGGAGCCAGTGACCTACTAACCTACTGGACTACACAAGACACAGCACATAACTGTTTTCTATCCCCTTCTCTATTCAACCATTGTTTGATAACAGTTCTCCAAGGCTTTGGATACAGCCTCTTCTCATCCATGAAATCATTAGACTGAATATCTAAGAATGTTGTTTGAGAATTTACTGAAATTCCCAGTATCAGTCCCAAATCATTTATGAATACTGTAATGATTTCTATCACTGATGACATGTAATTGACCCTCTTGCTGATTTGTTGCTCAATTTGACAAACTGTAAATTTCAGCATCTCTCTTTTGGGATTCAAAATCTAAACACCCGGATTTCCACTAACAGACATTTAAGCTTATTTCAAAGTGTGATCTTTTGACACTACAAAAATGACTTAAAAAGTAGCATACATTGACAAAAACTATTTGATATCTGTATAGTCCTAACAAGCTAATGCTATAATTTGTATGGAATGTAACATGGCTGTTCTATCAATGAGTACTTTAATATACATGTAATTAGCAGAGCTACATACAGTCGGCTTTATGGGCATCATGTATGTGGGAAACCCAGGGTAGCATATTAATGAAACTTTATTTCCTCAGCTAGGATTCTCCTGAAGAAAGCTTTTTAATGTATGCCTGTGCATTATCTACCAGGGGATGTAGTGATGTTCAGAGCGTTAAGCCATCTTTTGGCAAGTTGATCAAAACTGAAAAGGTTAAACACCTATAACGTAGACAGATATTCCATCACTGAGTCTGGCAACACCAAGGGAATTGCTTTGTATTAATTAACTTTGCTTTGTTGGCTAAACGTTTTGCACGTCAGCTGGAAAACAAATGTGGCTGTAAAATTAGCAGTAATGGGGCAATAGATTTATTTCACTGAGTAAGCAGTGCAAACAGTAACAAACCTTGTCAATGGACAATCTAACCTAAACTTCCTGTTTGTGGTGCTGTAAAATTTTTCTCCTGTCTTTACTTCTTGCTCTGAAGAAGCTGAGAGCAAGGGAGCTGTCTCCAAAAGGCCTTTTATTCCAAGTTGGGTTTAGTATTATGGGAAACTTCTTAAAATCTAGGAAATCTTTTTCACCACTTTGAGGTATTTTAAAAATTAGATAACTTTATGAATGCAGCTCATGGTGGAGTCTTACATACCTGAGCCCTGAGCAAGTGCTAACAGCAACGCTGGAACCTTCCATGCCCAGAACAGCCCCATGGTAGAAACAGTTTCCCTGGAAGCCAAAAACAAAGCTCAACACTCAGCTCTCTGCGCAGGGAAATGGGGACACAGCGATAAGAGAGACAGCCATTCAACCACAGGTTCTTGTCAAGTAGGCAGAAACTGTGGTGTTTTGGGTTTGAACTGCACTGATGCTTATCTCTCTTCTACACTTGTTTACACCTTGACTCGGAACATCACACTACCTCACAGACTTACAGTGTTTGCAGGAGAGGAGGACTTGCGGGTTCCTTCAGGAGTGTACCATATTTCCTGATACCCGGGGGCTAACAGCTGTCTGGGGAGAGACAACATAAGCTCAGCAAGAGAATAAATGTTCTGTCAGACATTCGGTCTCCTTAAACAGCAGCAATATGGTGGAGTAATGGTGAATAATATAGAGTAAAAGCTGTGAAAAACAGAAACAACGGAAGAAGACAGCCTTTCTTCAGTAGCCCACGGCTCATAAAACTTTCATTCTGACAGAGCAAAAACCAGGTTCCTTTAAAGATTTAGACGAACATCCTCTCAGAGTTAGGACAACACAAAGAAAAAAGGTGGAACAGTCCTGTGGCTCTAACAAAATCCATATGTACCATTCCCAAATGGCCCTTCACATTCTGGAGAGCTGAAGTAGGAAATGGTAACAGCCAAGAGTTTAAGTATGTTAGTATGCCCGGGCCACATTTGTTTCATAGAGGTATTTATTAATATCCTTCATTTTTTTCTCTATTACTGTAATTTATCAATTAGTACAATACAGGCTGCACAAAAGAGGCTAATAAATCAGGAAAACAAGCACATGTTAAGAGAAATATTAATTTTATTGTGGTAAAACATTACATTCCTCTTTCTCATTATATGTGTGTATGTGACTGGGTGAAGATTTATGGACTCGGTCTGTTTCTGTCAAACTTGTGTCCGCATAACAGTTCAATATTTACATCTTAGACAGATGCTTGTTTTCCTGTCTTTCTCCTTCCAACTCTGTCTCAATCCATTCTTCCTGTTTTCATTCACAAATTCCGCCCGTCTCACAGCTGGTTTTCTCTGAATCTGCTCTCTTTCCTCATACAGTCCACCTCAAGATTCATCAAACAGGCTGTAGCTGCAGTGACATCAAGCTGCAGAGAAACCTACATGTCAGTCTTTATGCTAAGCTAAGCTAACCTTCTCCTGGCTGTAGCGTTGTATGTAGCACACAGGCATAAAAAAGGTACCGTACAGATCTTCTCATCTAACATCTGGCAAGAAAGATAAATGACACATTTCCTATTTCCCGTTTCTCAGCTATTCCTCAAAAAAAAGATGATGAAGACAAATGAATGGAAGATGGGAATTTTTCCTTTGTCCTCCCATCAGATGCCCTGAAGGAGACAAGCCTCTTGAAACAATGACAGCCTGTTGATACAATCAGCCACAAAGCCAGTCCAAGACAGAAAACGGCTGCACCATACTTTAACAGATTACTACTCTGAGGTTGTTGGGGGCTGTGAGGGACTGTGTATGCACACACCCAAGCAGTCTAAGACTTAAAAATGACTGCTCAGTGGTAATGTATATGATGTCACCCTAAACGGGATAACACTGTGCTGCGTTTTGACCCTTTAACCTTATTTGGATCTGGCCTTCCTCTAGTTTTCCTGCCTCTAACCTCACAAAGATACCCATCATGTTCTCCACTCATCTCTGTAACCTCTGTTGCTCTAACGTGTTGGCAGAACGACTGATGATTGAACTTGACTGTGCTGCTGTTCCACAGTTGTTCTACAGGAAGAATGGTCACTTCTTCCATGAGGAAACACATAATGAACCTTTTCTCCTTCATTCTAATTCTGACATGCCAGTCAGCAGCTCCTTTATGTGTTAGACCACGCTGACTTACTAGTCTTTTCTTACAAGTCTTACACTGTGTGTGTACTAGTAATCTACAAAAATATAATTTATGCCATAAACAACAGCCACCAACTAAAGGATAATTCATGCTTCCACAAAATCTGATGAACAGATTTAAATTTTGCAATATATTTTTCACGCTCTGATGCGAGTACTTTATGTTTCACTGAAAAACTAAACACACATCCATTGTAGATGTAATAAATGGCAGTGCATTTGACCCATAAAGAACTGAACCCATGCACCTATAATCTGGCTTGAAGAAACACCCAAAAGAACCACAAATAAACTCGTGGGTGTAATCCATCTGCTCGGTTTCATTTTGCCTCACCACTGTCTCCAGATCTGGGTGTAGTCAAATACAGCTTTTCACTATATTACATTAAAGTTGCTGTAAAACAACACCCATTGTATGTAGATAATGGTGCTCAGAGATAACTAGTTACCTATAATAGTTCAAGTAAATGAATCACTGGCTGTGGTGAAAATATCAGAATTAGAATCAGAATTCAGGGAAAAAGCATCATGACTGTCATGTTGATCTCTGCAAGATGATCTTTAAAGTAGTATTTTTCACAAAACACACCACAGAGTACTTTGGATTGTACCAAATACCAAGGCAGTATGTTCATGTCCAATATGGGACTAAAACAAAGGACCAGTTAAAGGATAAAGCTGGTGATTTTCTATGTCTTAGTGCAGCAGTGTGGCTCGCCAGTGTGTTTTTCATAGTTTTAGGAATGAAGCTCTACAGCACAGATGAAAAAGCAAACCAGGAGAGAGATATACAATACCCCATCTTTCAAACTGAGGTGTGAAGTGGAATATTTATGGCCTCTGATGACATCACACTTTTATCTGGGATTAACAAAGGCTTAAGACCTCCAATCGTTAAACATTTTCCTATAAACCATACAACATTGGGTCCTGTAGAGAAAAATACACTGACAAAATCCTACCACGACCTGTGGTATACCTACTCCCCAGGCAGTGGCTTTACCACACAGCCATCGCTGAAGGTCAGTTTGAAAACATGGGTGGAAGTCCTTTGTAACTCACTCCTGTCTGGGGAGAGATGACCTCTGGAGGATTTACCGATCTTACGCTACCTTGGAGTTAATTTCACTCATTTTAAATGTTTGTGATCCATTCACTTGTAACGTGAGGGATCTGGGGATTATGTTTTTCATCTGACTTATTCTTCTGAGGGTGACTGTGGTTCAGTGGGTAGAGCAGTCGTCTCCCAACTGGAGGGTTGGTGGTTCGAATCACGGTGCCTGCAGTCCACATGTCAAATCCTTGGGCAAGACACTGAACCCCCAAGTTGCCGCCGATGGTTAGAGCCATTGGTGTGAGTTGGCACCACAGATGGCTGCCTCAGTTCTGTACCGGAAACAAATTCCTTGTGTGTAACATACTTGGCCAAATAAAGGTGATTATCCTTATCCTACAACCTTTGAAGGACTGCTCTGGGGGTGTTCATCAGTCCTATTCCTACGGGGAACCACAATAACATCCTTTAATGTTGTTACAGACCCATAAGTTATGGTGACTAACATTCTGTCAAAGTGAAAGTAACACCTAAATGTGGAAAGGTAAGCGGATGCTAAAAAAAAAAAAAAAAAAAAAAACCTCCCACGCATTAAAAGTGTTAAAAGCGTGATGTCATCAAGGGCCACAAATCTTCGACTTCACACATCAGTTTGACAAATGGGATAGGGTATATCTCTCTACCAGGGTCTGGATTCACACACTTTCCAGTGAGTGGGTTTAATATGGGACTTGCAGGGGAAAAAAATCACTTATCATTATCCTTTAGGTTCTGGGGAATATAAGACAATTAGGGCATTTAGTCTGTAAGATGTCCATCAGAATTTCTGGGAGCCCAAGAAGATGTCTTAATTTTTCTTGTTTGGTGCATGCAACACAAAGACATTCAGTTTATAGTCAAATCTGACAAAAACAACCAGCAAATCCTAACATTTTAGAATCTGGAACCAGCACATATTTAGCTTTTTTTTTTTCTTAAAAAATTACTGAATCAAGTAATTGTTTAATTCAGATAATAATTTCATTACATTTTTCTCTGATTTGCAAAACACTTTGAACTCAGTCTGAACTGATCAACCAGTGGATGGCAAAAAAGTCACAGTATGCTAATTTTATTGTCAAGCCTTGAATGACCCAGTACAGCACCCCCAACCCCCTGGAAAAAACCTTCTGATGACTGCAGTTGGATGTCACCCAGCATCCAGACAGATGCAGGGACTGAACAGCGAAATACTGGCTGAATCAGGGCAGTCTGACAGTGAGGCTGAGACAAAGTCTTAGTTCAGCCTCAGGATGACAAAGAGGGGCTGGGAGAGTAATGCTAATGTACTCAAGAGATGACGAGGGCAGAGAGGACGGGGATGGGGGGGAAACGCATTAGGGTCAGTGGGTCACATTCTCTCCTAATATCAGATGACATCACTGCACACGGGTGGAAGGAGGGAGGGAGCAGGCTAATACCAAGTCAGCAACTGGATGATTGAGAGGCTTTTAATGCACAGGGAGGCCACCACTCTGTTGTGTGAATCCCCGTGTATGTGAGCGTTTCCCCAACACACAGCCAACACCGAGCCCTAGATTAAGACATCTGAGTACACAGGGCTGCACTGCTGTGAGACTAAACATAGGCAAAAGGGAGACAGGGACAAGAAAATGCATCCCTTGCTCTCTGCTCCCTAAACCTGGAATTCATCAGGTCTGTGCTGCTTTGTGCTTTGTTTGTGTTCTTATGGGGTGCTGTATGTGTGTGTCTGTGTGTGGCCAATCCCTGACCACAAAGAGTGTGTGGGAGATGGATATTTGTACTAAACCCCTAGGGAATAACAGGGATGAAAAGAAATGAGAAAGAAATAGGGAGCTCATTTTTAGGATGGACAGCAGAGGACATACAAGTCGAGGATGAGAGGAAAGGAGAGGAAGAATAATGATATATAATTCTCTCCCAACTACACACGTAGTTCAGGTTCCTGCACTTACAGGAGTGCAGGAAGAAATTCATGCGGACAAGGAAACAAGAAAATCCATTCAATTCACATTTGAACTCTGAGTCAGCAAACTATAGCCCTTGTCTGGCTCTTAACCAAATCAACCCTCTATGGGCGCACTACTGTCTTTCATTAAGATAAAAGCTCAAGCAGACATAGACAAAAAAAAGAAAAGACTCATGTACACACCCAGGCAGAGACTGGATTGCAGCCACTAATGTGCATAAATCTTCAGAGCCATGTCTTCTTCCATGTTTTGATTAAATGATACATTAAGTGAAAAGCACATGATTTAAAGGGGGAGAACGGAAAAATTATATGCAAAATACAGCAGGGGATAAACAGAAAGTCAAGATCAAGACTATATGAGTTCTCCCTTATCTGCTGGATGTTAGAGTAATGGTTGTAGGGGCAATGAGGACACGAGGGAGTAGCCAGGACACAGAGATGGACACTGGCAGAATTTTCTCTGGCTTCTCGCCAAACTCACACATTGATCTTCACTGACACAAACTACTGTCGTCTTCAGCCCGCCCTATAGGCACATATAGCCAGATGGGTCTCCACGTCCCAGTATAGCATTTACTGTTTAGGCTTTGAGAAAGGGGAACACTGGCCAGTGTGAAACCTCAGACTAAATAAAGGGTCTACAAAGAAGAACCGGTGACGCAAGCTCTTTCTTTGAATGCTAAAACATTTTTTGAAAGGGACTGTACATAAATTATTGGGTTGGGGAGGGGGGTTGAGCCCTAGTTTTCTAATAGATATTGTCTTTGAATTAGGATATAAATCTGCAACAGCATTGTCCTCTAATGTTGCAAAATAACATGTCAGTGCCAACTTGATCCAACCTTAAAAATTAAAAATGTTATCATGTCAAAAAATGAACATGCATAAAGAATTTCAAATGATGTCCCTATTTCCTGTTTAGCAAAAATGTATTTCTTAGATGAACTTTTTTAAGTGCTGATGTGCATTATTTATAATCAAGTTTTTAGAATTAGACTTTTGTGGTGCTTGTAATTAATTACACCTTTTTTTGCTGTTTTTTCATGGTATTGCTTTCGCTTGTGCATCACACTGTAACCTTGTTAATAAAGTGACCATACATGTATAAAGATTATTATTTGAAACTTGACATTCTCACGATTACCTCAAAACTGTACATTAGAAATTATGGTGAACATGGAATAGTGAGTCTTGTTTACCAAACATTACTGCCATTTTGTTTTTGAAAGAAACATAACCCTTAAGTTTCTTTGCCCCCCCCCCCTCCAAAAAATTTCTCTTTTCCTAGAAGTGACTTGTGGCAAACAAGTTGTAAAGGCTGAAACACAAAATCCCAGTGAGCAGTAAAGAGTACTGTATATACATTTTGTTCCAGATCAATAACGCTTTTAGACACAGTACATTAGTGGATCAATACTTGGAATGTGGGATGTTTCTTTAATAGAAAACACTGCTTGTATTACCTTAATGTATTTTATTTTTTTGCACATGCTTTATAATGAAAATAATAAAGTACTGCTTTAATTTCTAGAAACCACTTTTTTTTTTAGCAGTATTTATCCTATTACAGGAGTGTAATGATGTGAAACTAACTAACTAACTGTTGCAGGAGTCACTGGCACTAGTGAAGAAATGTAACATCTTTCCTGTTGCAGAAAAACCAGTTGAGAAGTTGCACACAAATGGTTCCAAAAGGCAACAACAATTTTTCAGCAGCATTGTATTTCATCTTTCTTTGAGCAATCTTCAGTTGAAAGACCTGTAAAAGTTTTATCAAATCTTTGTTTGTCCTTCTCTTTCAATCACACGTACAGTGGCAAGAAAAAGTATGTGAACCTTTTGGAATTTCATGGTTTTCTGCATTAATTACTGACAAATATAATGTGCCTAATATAACAACACAAAAAAATTTTGATCTTTCATGTCTTTATTGAGAACAACCATAAAAACCTCATAGTGCTAGTGGAAAAAGTATGTGAACCCTTGAGTTAATGACCTCAAAAAAGCTAATTGGAGTCAGGTGTTAGCATACCTGGAGTCTTGTTAAGAAAATGAGTTTGGAGGTGTGGACTAGAGCTACGTTGACTGATAAAAACGACTCAAACCTTTTGAGTTTGCTCCACAGAAGAAGAATATGCTTATGTGGGCCATGACTCACTAAAAAGAGCTTTCAGAGGATCTACAATCAAGAATTGTTGATTTACATAAAGCTAGAAAGGGTTATAAAGTGATTTCAAAGACTTTAAAAATTCACCAGTCTACAGTTAGGCAAACGATCTACAAATGGAGACTGTGGCTACTCTACCAAGAGCACAATGAATACTCATCAGTGAGGTAAAGAAACAACCTCAAGTGACAGCCAAAGATTTGAAGGCATCATTGGAACTGGATAACATCTGTGTTCATGAGCCTACAGTATGTAAAACATTGAACAAGCAGGGTGTCTATGGCAGGACACCATGAAGGAAGCCGCTGCTTACTAAAAAGAACATTGCTGCATGCCTGAAGTTTGAAGTTTGCGAAAGAGCACATTGACACTCCACAGTGGTAGTGGCAAAATGTTTTGTGGACTGATGAAACTAAAGATTGAACAATTTGAAAGAACATGCAGCACTACATCTGGCGTAAGAAGGGCACTGGATATCATCATGAAAACATCATCCCAACTGTAAAGTATGGTGGAGGACACCCGATCTGTGCTTTGCTGCACCAGGGCCTGGCCAGCTTGCAGCATTGAGGGGAAGGTGAATTCCCAAGTGTATCAAAAAAATTCTTCAGGATAAGGTGAGAATGTCTGTACGACAGCTGAAACTCGGTAGAAGTTGGGTGATGCAACAGGACAATGACCCAAAACACAACAGAATGTCTTCATAAAAACAAAATCCACCTTTTGGAGTGGCCAAGTCAGAGCCCACACCTCAACCCAATAGAGATGCAATGGAATGACTTCAAGAGAGCCATACACGGGAGACATCCAAAGACTATGATGGCGCTAAAGCAGTTCTGCCAAGAAGAATGGGCTAAAATTCCTCTTGAACGATGTGCAGGTCTGATCCACAGCTACAGGAAGTTCCTAGTTGAGGTTATTGCTGCCAAGGGGGGTCAACCAGTTATTAGTTCCAGGGGTTCACTTACTTTTTCCACCACCATTTTGAATGTTGAAGGAGTGTGTTCAATATAAAGACATGAAAGATCAGAATTTTTTTTATTATTTTAGGCATATTCGTCAGTATTCTTGACTTAGATTAAGATCAGATCACATTTTATGACAAATTAATGCAGAAAACCATGAAATTCTAAAAGGTTCATACACTTTTTCTTGCCACTGTATGTAGACAAACTGTGTATGTGATTGATTAAAATTCCTTGCCCAGGAGGAAATCTGTGTGACTACATGCTAGAGGGCAAATCCCTCAGGGGATGGTCAGTCAGACTCACTGGAGTCATGGCTTGTTAATGTGTGTGCCTGTAAGTGGATGAATGGCAGAGAGAACGCATATATTTGATGGTAAAAATGGACTTCATTTGTAATTCTTCCCATTCCACTTGTGCGATGGCTTAAATTTAAAAGCAATATACCACAGCTTTGTTGTCACCATGGACGTCTCAAGAGCTGCTCACCCGCCCAGCGATCACACTGTCCATTAAACAGATACTCTCCTGCCTTCCTATGGCCATCCCATTGTTACTGGACAGGAAGTGCTCAGTCAGATTGCAGGATGTTAGGTGCAGAGGCACACAGATCGGGTGTCAGCCCTGTGTTGTCAAAAAATCATCACCCTTCTTTCCTCCAATTATTCCCCTCTCTGCACCCACAGGGCCACTGACCTTAAATGTATCTGCATAACAGCTAACAGCTGGACAAATAAACGGGGCCAGCCAGGATGTCTAAGGATACAGTGTTGATGCTCTAACTTGATTTAATCAGATTGGACAATTAGATACAGGTATTCTATTGGACTATGTCTCTTTTGTTGACCTATTCCTAAGAAGCATTCATATTGTAGTCTGCACCAAATGTTGCCAACCATTTAATTCATCTAAATCTATGAATAAAACACTGCAGTGCACTTAATTCTACTAAAATCACTCACTCGTTTTTCTCCAAGAGTATTCTGAGCTCTTGGCCCTCAGCTGAGATCAGAACCTCTGCCTCTGCGGGATGCTGGAAGGAAAACCAGATCAGGAGGTCACTACAGAATAGCTCATTCATATCAAGATTTAAATGTGTGAGAACAAATTATTTGGCTCTCAAACAGAGAGAGACAGACTAACTTACTGGTGTGTTGGCAGACCTCCTGTGTCGGTAAGGATGCAGCCATATGGGATAAGTAATCTCATACTTCTGTACCTGCTCCAGGATGCTCTTCGGTGAGTCCTGCTTATTTGATCCTGATGAAAACCAGAAACAAAAGGGAACACATGACAAGTGACCACAATGGAGACAGTCTGCAGCCTATGCTCCTTAGTGACCTATTGATATATATTTTCATTTGTGCACTGGATGACTCACTTTTTACAATATATATATAAATAAATGTCCATTAACATTATGCATACACGACAAACAGGTGGTGTTAATTATATTTTTAAACTGTAAACACACTCTAGTCCGATGCAATTTCGACATAATGTCCTATTTCAGCCATCGCTCCAAGAAACAATCCTACTCACCATTATAAACACAGTCTCCACATAGAGCAGCCTCGACAAAGTGGAGGAAAACTAAGAGACAGAGACCCAGAGAGGACCGCACGGCGTCGGGAGGACGAGGGCGCGCAACCGGACGCATTCTAAAAACAAAAGGCTCCAAATCAATTTGCTAAACTGAGACATAAATGTGCATTAAATGAGGATGGGAGTCTCGCATCAGAGAAAACGCGCCCGTTGTAACATCGCGATAAGCCGCTGCTGCTGGTCTGAATGAGATGCTTGTGGAGCACCTCTCTCTTGCATTCTCAATCCCTCCCCTTGATTACACACACACACACACACACACACACTTAGCAGTGAGGACAATTGTCTTTCCTGCAATAAGGCAAGAGAGGATATGATGACAACGAACGGGGGTCACACATATCATTTCCATCCATCTAATGGCATTGCTTTATTTTTCACTAAACCATTCCTACCTGTTTCACGGCACATCTGTCAGTCTCCATGCCTCTTTGTAATACAGACTTTTTGTTATTAGTTTGCAGTCTTGGAGCCTCTTATGGCTGTGACGTCAGTAGGGCCAATTTAGACTTAAAGTTCATCCAGAGCCAACAAAGTTGCTGCTGCCTGGGTGGTGCCTACTCATGAATATTAAACTGATCTTTGAGAGCAGCTTTAAATTGACAGTCATATACTGTTTTATTTACAAAATGTGGGCAGAATAAAACAGGATAATATCACACTATTCCAACTTTGGACCAGACAGCATTACTGAAAGATGCTTAACTGCCAAGCCTTACCTTACTGCCTATGTGCTTTCTTCAATAAAACGAGCTGCTCGTAGTTGCAGTCTAAATATATTAATGCAGCTATGTAGCCAACCAAAACTACTGGAAATATTTTATAAGATATATTAAATCACACTTTTAATGAGGCTGTGCTGACTACTGCCTCAGTATTTTCCAACCAGCACCCCAACAGGCTTAAGTTTAGAAGCTGCATGTAAACACATGCTGTCTTTAAATAACTGCAACGCTTGCCTCCACACGCCCTGATTTCTATATGGCCACATGTGGAGTCACTGTGTTGAGTCTGGCACTGGCCCAAGTGAAGATCTCTTAAGCACAGAGTGGCTTTTTGTCCAACCTCTGATATTAGCAATATGTTTTTGCACATTTTATCCAAGTCATTATTTGTGCTTGTGAACGAATGCAATTCCAAATAAGAATGAATTGAATCCTGGTTACATCAAGTACAGTAACTACATGCTTTTAACAAGGTCACCAAACCAAAAATACAGCTCTAATACCTCTACAGTAACTGAGCCTACTACAGTGACAAAATATAGCAGGCTACCTCCACTTCAAGCTTCCAGCAGCCATTCATACTGAGCCGGTCATTTATAAGTGTGATGATAAATATGCCAGAGAGCACATGTCATAAGGATAGAGTTTACACAGGGTGTGTGAAGTATTCTTAGCACAGATGACAGTGCAGGCGGCTCCATCCATTCACATCTTTAAATGGTGTCCTGGCGGCAAGACAAGGCCTCTTGTTGCTGTCAAGATATTGGTTTCTGCTTTACTCTGCTCTTTTCTACCGCAGATACGCACTTACTTCCAACTGGATGTGATACTGAACACTTTGGAGATGCATTTCCTGAATGATTTAAATTCAAACATTAGGAGCTTTGCAACCTAAAAAAAAAATCTAGTTGAGATTCAAAAAGCCCCCACACAGATAAAAACCAAGGTAAATCATGTTAGACATGCAGAAACATATTACATAAGGATACAGTGCAGTTTTGGAAAACCAACCTAATACACTAGGCTAAAGAGGAGAGGGCAGATGTTTGTGAAAGTGTGAGACTATAAACTGTTGCATGTCCTCAATGTCCACTCATATTAAAGATTATAAAAATCATCTGCTTCCCTTTGAAGATCATCATGTAATTTAAACAAAAATCCTCCTACATTAAGGTAACATTAAGTTTAATACAAGGAAGTAACAATATGTTCCAGCTATGAGAGCAGTCTCACAGATTCAAAGGGATCCGTCTCAGAAAATGTTCAGAAAGTGTACTAAGCCATGGTTGCACATTGCCCGGCACGCAGTCATCAATCTACATTAGTAAGTGCCGAGCTGTGGCTGTCCCTCAGGAGTTACTGTTTGTATGGGTCCACTTCAACTCTTCTGGCCAGACTCCATTCTCTCCTAGAGCAGCACAGGAGCTGTTAGCAGTTGTCGTCCTCCAGGATGTCGGGGTGTTCCTCCCAGAACTTGTCTCCTATAATGTCACAGTGGTAGGCCTCCACCCTCCTCCTGCTGCGAGTCACAGGCACATCCTTCTCCTCTTTGTTTAGGAGCTTCATGCATTTAGTGACAGTTTCATCCCGCTTGACAGGAATGAGAAACTTGGTTAGTAGAGGTAAAGATAACTTAAAGGAATAGATCAACATTTTGGGAAACACCTCTCTCTGTGTGGACTACCTGCTAACCTCTAGACTCTAGAAATCACACCTGACCGAGAAATCCTCCAGCACCTACTGTATCCCACTATAAAACACAATGTGTTTTTACACCTCGATTTTGTATGGATTTAAACAAACTAAATGTAATATATTAATCAGGGTGAACTAGAGATGGTGGTAGGTGTTTCCTTTTTGCCTTTGGACAGAGCCAGAATAGCAGCTTCAAGTGTTTATGCTAAGCTAAGCTAACGCCCAGCAAAAAAAGAAAATAAATGTACATCCAAAAATGTCAAACTACTCCTTAAAAAGAAATAAAAGGCATTCTTTGACACCTAGGTGCAAATTTTTAATGCAATGCCCAGAGGAGGCCATGTATACGCAGCATTGTTTCTCTAGAGTCCTTTATAATTCCAAGTAATGCTAACCACATTCTGCAGAATGCCACATTTTTCTGAACCTGCCAGGCAGCAATTATTTAATTTTTTATGGTATGAAAACATACTTTCAGGCAAAACTGCAACGACGTGCACTAGAAATTCTACATGTTCGGACACAAGAAACCCAGCAAGGTAATATGAAAAAAAAACACTGACCAAAATAGAAGTTGGTAAGACAGGTGACACAGGAGTGGGGTCACTGAAGGAATTTAAAAGCCACATTCACACACTAAACATTAAAGATATCTAACACAACAGGAGCATTCAAGTGAATGTCAGACTCAAACCCTTTCAAACAGCTCACCTTCTCCCAGATGAGAGTGGTGCCCTTCCTGTGGAGGGCAGCTTCATTGTTGTAGTTAATGTCAAACTCTGCGAACAGGATCTCATTTTTATCTGCAGCTAATGTTCCCTGAGAGAGAAAAACGCAGACATATACATGTAAATATGACGAACATGTACAGTCAGTTTCATAAATGTTGGAGCAATGATACGTTTTTTTGGCATTTGCCATCTGTACTGTACATGCAATGTACACCACAATGCATTTGAAATGTGAAGATGTGAGTGAAGTCAAGACTTTCAGCTTTAATTCAAGGGGTTTGACAAACATGTGGCATTAACCATTCAGGAATTACAGCCATATTCATACACACACCCGTTTTTGGTGGCTCATAAATAATGAAACAAATGGCCGACAAGCTGGTGCACAGCTAGGTGTGACCTGCTCCCTTGTTACTCTGTGACTAATCAAGCAGGTAAAAGGCCTGGAGGTGGTCCTGAGTGTTACATTTGCATTTGGTAGCTGTTCACAAGAACTGTGTTGCCCTATTAAGGGGAGACTGTGTTTTATTTTTTATCCCTTCTGAGTTAGCTTAGTCTGCCTTTGCATCAGGAAGTGCTGATAGCTGGACGAAACAAGCTGTGTTCTTCTTTCTAACCATTTTAAGCCTCTAAAGAACATATGTCTATAACTGTGAAGTGATGTAGGTTGCAACATTAACGCAGGAGCTGCTGATACAGTTCTAGAGATGAATCATCGAGTCTGTTCTCTGCCATTCCATCACTGTCTGATTTGGTTCAGTAACCAAACAGGACAGGAACAGGCTCCAGAGAACAGTTCAGATGGCAGAAAAGATAATCGGTGCCAGCCTGCCCTCCATGGAGGACATGTGCACCTCAGGAGTCAAGGGGGTCAAGAGGAGAGCAGAGAAGATTTCTGCAGACTCCTCACAATCAGTGGAAAACCCCTGTTCTATAGAAAAGTACTACCTCTTCTGTTGAATTAGAGGTGTTAGTTCCTTGTGTGGATGCTAAATTTTGATCATCATACCGAGAACTGAGTAGCAACAGTGAACTAATTTGTGGTGTTAATCTGTTACAGTCAAGGCAGAAAAGCATTTTCATTAGCTGATTGATCAAGTCATTGTTTAATCTGATAAAATGTCAAAATTAATAATTATCCATCAAACCTTATAAGAAACTAAACCCATATCTTCAGTTGTTTGTCAACAATTCCATGAGTATAAATGAAGAAAAGCTTTTATTTTTTACATTAATGCTAAACCAGCAAATATGTGTGCTACATTTGATGGATGCCTTCCACAGTTTACAACTTGTTAGCAGTGTCATTAATTAATCTCCCTGAAATCAAGGAAATTGATCAACCAAACTGTTAACACCACAAGGCAACAGAAATGTATCGTTGATGTGGCACAGTACACAGAGCAATAGTAACTGATGAGAATTTAAAAGTTGTAACAATAGAAAGTAGCGTTTTTACCATTTGGTATTATTATAGCATACAGTATAGTTATAGATACACATGCACCTATACCAATTTCCACACAATATATGCTACATTAATTAACTTTGAATTGTGTTTCACTCCCACCTTTAGGCGATCCTCTGCCTGGGCTGTGGTGAGGCCTCCCTTCTGTACTAACGTCCAAAACACTGTGTTGTACAAATTATTTATGTGACCTGAAAACCATAAAAATGTGAGTACAGTTGGACTTATTTTACCTGAGTCAAGTTCATGAGAAAAGTTATCTAGAAGTCATTGTAGAACATGGCATTCACTTACAATCAGCTTGCCTCCAGCAGAGGTAGTCTCTAAGGTTGCGGTTGCTAGGATACAGGATCACGCGTCCGTCAAAGCCTGGTGGGTACAGGAGGGGCTGTTCCCCAAAAAACTCCTTCCAGTAAAACACAAAAGAGGAGGAGAACTGGGAGGCTACATGCGTCATGAGTTTACTGCCAGAGGAGACAGAGAAAAGTGAAGTCAGACAAAATGGAACAACACATGAACATGTGTGAGAATGATGTTTCTCTTAAGTTAGCAAAACCTCAGTACCTGGCTCTCCTCTTGAACCAGGTGGAGGTCCTCTTGAAAACAAAACTGAACTCATCACTTTGACCATAAGCAATGGTGATGTCTTCCAGTTCCTCCATGACAGAGCATGCACTCCTGCCCATCAGGCCTAAGGCTCTGTCATCATTGGGCTTTGTAAACTTGTGCTGCGCTGCAAACCTGACACAAAATGCAGAAGAATTTCAGAATAACAGTGCAGTTTCAAATACTGCATCAACCTATTGATTTGGAACATGACTTGTGTGTTCACAAAAGTGACAGATGTGCAGCTTGAAAACAAAACTCACTTGTGGAAGTTTCGACCATCCAGTCTCACAACAATGTAGCAGTTTCGTAGACAAGTGTCATCTGTTTCAAAGGCCCGGACATACTCAAACTTGCTCTTTGCCATGTTGCCGGAGCTGGTGAAGAGACGGGCCAAGTGTTGGACACTATAAGTCCTGACACGTCTACCTAATCTGCAGGTCTTTCCAATTAGCATGAGGTTATATATATATATGGTTATATTTTCAGCCAAGATTGAACCACAGTAGTGTTATTTTGACATCAAAGCCAATTTAAGACGTGATCTAAGTCACAACGATGATTATGGAATAATTAATCTTAATGTCCGTCTGTCCTATCGCCCTATGGGTACTTACAATCGAATGACACGTATAGTGTTAGTCCACTGCACCTACAATAACCAGCAAGTTAACTACGCCTTCAGATCGTGCGTTAATATCCGGTTATTGGATTAAAACAGCTATATCATCAATCGATATGTACATAACACCAATAACTAAAACAGTTTCCTCACATCACACATGTTGATTTGTGTTCAGTCCATCTACGAAATCTGTCGTAACGGTACTGCAAACACACTGAACAGACGTTCCGGCGCGCAATCCGGAAACGAACAAGCAATTAACTCAAAACAAACAGTCCGTTGATTCTAATTTTTTACACACCCGCTTTAAAAAAACAGCCATCGTGTAGCAATTTATTCTTGTGCGCCTCCGTGGGATAATCTATTGTAGAAAATAAATTTTTCGTCAAATCAGACATCATCTGTGTTCTATCGCCATCTTGTGGTTAAAACGGGGGAGTACAGCCAAAGATCGTACTGCAGTTGTAGTCCAGTTGGAAGCTAAATTATTTCCTGGCAGAGTTCTTTGAGCTTTTAAGGATTTGTATATATAGATAGCCATTCTTATAAAATTATGACAGGGACACTGAAAAAACGCATAAAATAACCAGACTGGAACTAAAACTAACTATTTGACTGGCATCAACAGGAGCAGAGTGAAACCTGAACAGACAACAACTGCTTTCCCAGGATTCATTGCTTCACTGTGTGTGTTCCGTGGTTGTTTCAAACATGGAGGAGAGGGAAAGAAACCGTGTCAAATTAGACAGTAGAGGGGCACAGCCAGCATGTTCAAGTACACCGCCAGTATCGGAACATAGAGCGGAGACAGACCTTGAAGCTGTGGACGATAACGCAAAAGAAACAGATGTCTGCTCAGATAAGTTTGACCCTCTCAGGGCCTTGTACTCTCCGACTGTACAGCTTCCTTTTCCAAACATCAAGTGTTTTAACAATGTCGCAGAGTACGAGAGCTTTCTCAAGGGCGGCCGTGGCAGAGCCAAACCGGAGAATGTGGAGAAAAAGAGACTGAAAGCGATGAAGGGGGCGGCGGACCCGGAGCGCATCGAGAGGCTGAAGAAGCTCATGGTGAACAACCCGGTACCAGAGCCCGAGGACGGAGAGAGCAGCAGCACACCGCGGAGGAGGACGCAGAAACCCCCGAAAAATGTCCTGACAAGGATGCCCCGTAGGTTCACCGAGTCTCTTAAATAATAGCTTAAGATTCCTCTATAATATTATCACTTTATGACCTGTTTATGGCAGGAAACCTTTAACGTTTTCATATTATATGATACCTGTAGTTTTCGTCTGAGCAAAAAATAATTGCATATAATTATAACCGAGCAGACACTGCATAATAAATAGCTTTAACGTTACACTATAGTGCTGGGCAATGGTTAAAATCCTTAATCAAGTTAACTACATGATTTTTCTGAGATTAACAGCGATTAACTGCATTGATATGAGCAGCATTCAGTAATGAATTCCAAAGTAGTGTATTGCGCACTTTTATTTTAAAAGTACCACTATATGAACAAACGTGCAATAACATTTGGTTTGCAAACACTTTAAACAAATAAGGTGCTTTTTAACAGAAGCATTCCCTTTACGCAGTAGCAGCAAATCTCAAACAATGTAATCAAATCAAATATAAAACCAAAGCTGGCAGGGCATTAATGTTTTTTTTAGTTTGTTATAGAAAAACAAGTTATCCTCAGAGTCCAGAGCCACAATCATAACATTATAACAGGCAGCAACATTTATAAACCTGTTTTCTTTCTTTTTTCTGAACAGATACCAGCAGAAACATTTTTTCTTTTATCAGGGAGCAGCATAAACAGTCAGTGTTCAGTAGCAAGTGTCCCTGATAGAGTGAGGTGAAGTGGAAGAGCACAAAGCCAGTTGCTCAAACACACAAGGTCATTTACATTTTCAGATGATAAAGAAACTCTCTTCTTCTGTACAATATGACCAGCAAGAGTAAACAACCTTTCACAGGGTACGGATGTTGCAGATGTGGCCAAGTATTTCTGTGCAATGTTGGCACGTTCCTTGCGTGTCTCCAGGTCTATTCTGAATGTAGACTTGTGTGTGGTGAGGACATCCCTCAGTGGCTGTTCAATGCTGGCATCAATGGTGTGTTTTACATCTAAGTGATACTTCAGACTCTTAGTACTCCGGTGATAAAAAAAAAATTCTGCATTGCAGTGGCTACAAATGACTTTGGTTCTATCAAAGAGATTTAAAATGAAAATGTCCATGTAAGAGTGCTTTAATCGTGAGGTTAACACTTTAAGTTGCCCAGCCTTAGTAATTTAGTAAAACATCTGGATTAATTGGTTCATTTTTTTTTTTAGAAAGTTTTAACAGCAGATTATTCAACTTTAAATATCTGCTGTTGGGAGAAGCTGGGTTTATTTCTTCCACTTCTGTGGTTTCCTCAACCCCAGAAAGTGACGAAATCTTTTCCACAGAGACTTTGGTTTAGTTGTCCCTGTGACGATCTGTTCAGAGACCCCAGCATTCTCTGTCAGTTCATGGTGGATCGTGAGGTTAACACTTTAAGTTGCCCAGCCTTAGTAATTTAGTAAAACATCTGGATTAATTGGTTCATTTTTTTTTTTAGAAAGTTTTAACAGCAGATTATTCAAATTTAAATATCTGCTGTTGGGAGAAGCTGGGTTTATTTCTTCCACTTCTGTGGTTTCCTCAACCCCAGAAAGTGACGAAATCTTTTCCACAGAGACTTTGGTTTAGTTGTCCCTGTGACGATCTGTTCAGAGACCCCAGCATTCTCTGTCAGTTCATGGTGTAAGGCACCAGGGAGAGAGTCCTGGTCCTCACATTGTCCATCCTCATGCTGTTCCTCAGGGTCATCATGCTCTTCACAGCTGGTGACTTCCTTAGCATTGAGCTTAGCTAAGAGCTGGTTGTTGAGTGAGACCTGCATGTCGAGCATGGTTCTCAGTGGCTCCAGTATTCTCTCATAGAGCATGAACTTGTGATCAGCTTCCTTCTGCATGTTGATCATCTCCTCTGCCATCTTTTGACCAAGGCTGTCTTTCTCAGTCCTTAAAGTCTCGATCATCTTGAGATCTTGCTCCGCCCTGTCGGCATGAGTGAGCTTTTCAGTCTCTATCTCACGCTGAAGGGCGTCTTTCTCCACCTTCAGGGTGTCTTTCTCCGCCTTTAGAGCGTCGATCTCCACCTTCAGGGTGTCGATCAGCTGGGGATCGTGCTCCACCGTGTCGCCGTGAGACTTGCTTTCCGTCTCAGACTCACTGTGAAGACTTTCCACCTGCAGCTTGATAAAGGATTCAGTCTTGGCTTTGTGGTAAGCCAGCTGTTCCTTTGTGTCACTTAGCTCTTGGCTAAGTTGGATCCTCCAGTTCTGTTCATAGATAAAACTCTCTCTGCCCCTGCTCAGCATCCCCTGAAGCCTCCTGATTTCCTCATGAAGGGCTTCGCAGTTCATGCCTCTACTGAAGTTCAGAAGTGGTCTGATTGCCTGTGAAGCTGCAGTTCTTAGGTGAGCTGCTGCGCGAGACTCGGTGACGTCACGAAGATCAAAGCCATGTCGCCGATGACGTCACAGCTCTGAATGCTGCAGAGTTTCTGCATGTTTACATTCAAAATCGCAATCTGTCAGTCCAATGTGCTGTAAGCTAACAGGCCACTGTAGTAACATTCAAAACCATTTAAAACCTGCAAGTTAAGTGAAAACATGACTTTCCCTGAACTCAGAGTTAAACTCCATTTTCACCTTAAGCGCTTTGAGTAAGTCTTGTTTTGCTGTTAAAAAGTAGACAGTTTGTATTTCTCTACTATTCTTGATGCTGGGCAGTGGTGGTTTTGGCATGGGCGAACCGGGCAGCCGCCCGGGGCGGCATTTATTCATGACACGTGGTTGGTTGTTCTTGATCTGCAGTGGTCAGTGCCTACCAAAAGTGATCTAAGGAAGGTCAAACGGTGAACCTGCAACAGGGTCATGGAAGTCCAAGGCTAACTGATGATGGAGTTGACCTGCTCTATATTAAACTTTTACATTTCATTCATAATTGTTGAAAGATTTCATGTTGTTTGAATCTTTGGTAAAATAGGTGAAAATGAGAAATACTGTACATTGTTCTCACAACCACAGTTTTCACTCCTTTGACAGAAATGATTCACTGAATGGTGGATAAATTTGCACTCTTCCTGGCAGTACAACTATGGAAGCAAACAGATTCACAGAAGATGCTCAGTGAGCTACAGAGTGACACATGCTCCAACAACTGCTGCCTTGACTCCTATGTACACAGTATTAGGCAGGTGGTCATAATGTTATGGCTGATCAGTGTATGTTAGTTGGACCTGCTCTGATTATTATGTCCACCCCAAAAACACACATTTTAGTTCGAATAATCATTAAAATATTATTTATAAGCACATAGACTACTGCATATATTTAGGTAACAGTGTATACATGAGCCGATAAGATAATTTAGAATCCGACATGCTAGCATATAGGCTAGCTGTCAAGACAGCCCACCTGGTACACATTATGGTCAAAATTTAAGGGTTTCTTATCAAGCATGGTTATCCCTTTGCTTGAAATAAAAATGACCAATGCAAATAGAGGTGAAAAATAACCAAAACCAACCTGAAAGTGCCCTAGTTAGGTTTTTGGCAACCACAAGCTTCTCCCAGGTTCTATGAATTTCTGGAGCCCTACTGGAGGGACAAACACATTGGTGTTGAAAGTATTTCACACCCTCCAACCCACTTAGTGAATGCTGGTGCCTGTATGGAAGCATCTGTATTCACTGTGTTTCTCCACAGACTTTACTTGCACATCATCTATGGAAAAGTTTGCTCTCTGACTTCAAACTTCTAAACTCGAGCTGTAACTTTTGAGTGATTTTTTTTTTTCTAATCGGGGAAACGTCTCTTGTAGAAACACTTGTCTTCTGTCTGGTGTCTTCAGTGTGTAAAGGCAGTCCTTTGGGTGAGCTGTACCGCTGCGTCGAGGAAAGGATAAGGGTCAAAGTTCACATCAGGACCTTTAAAGGACTGAGGGGAGTGTGCTCTGGCTTTGTAGTGGCCTTCGACAAGTTCTGGAACATGGTGAGCATTTTCAATGTGTATGCTGAATCGGAAATAATCCACAACATATTTAATTGCACATGTGACGTTTTTATTTCTCTGTCAGGCAATGGTAGATGTAGACGAGACCTACCGAGAGCCACTGCTTGGAGAGGCCCTCTACCATGAGAAAGCCCTCACCATCTCACGGGTATGTAGCAGTTTTCATTGTACATCTGACTGAAAAATGTTCCTTACTTAGTGATATAGTTTTTAAGACTTCAGTCCCGGTTGCCTGAGATCTTTCTACAGCTGCTGCTCCTTCTTGCTCCTTTATATCCTGCAGAATTTCAGACTGAGCTGCTTTCATAAAACGCAGCAAATGAACACATATTGTAGGCACATTTTTGATAAACAGTTGCAGTCAGCTCTGACTTCAGAGATGCTCTTTTATTTTTCTGTGCTCATCGCTAAAAGCCAACGTGTTTTTACCAGGTGAACACATTTAATGCAAAGCAGCAGCAGTCGGAAAAGTCCGGTTTGTTCACTGACTTAATATGATAATGTGAGAGTGAACAGTAGACAGTGAGGGTGTCAAAATTAAAACCAGCAACACTGGATGAGATGTGCATCGCTTTCTGTGCATCCCTCATGTGTAAGAGTAGCACATTTATAGAATGGAAATGTCTTGAATGACTACTGCTGAAACATTACACATAAGTGGTTCTGATAATGGAAGGATGGATAGAAGTTTAAAATTAAGCTTTATATATCTATTGTGACTGAAATCTTTGTACAGCTGTTTGAGAAGCTAAATCTCCAGGAAAGCACAGGAGGTGATGAGCCAGCAAAGAAGCACGAAGCCCCCAGAACTGCTCCCAAAAGCCGGTCCTCTCACCCTGCTAGCAGGGGGGACAGTATGCTGTTGGACGCTGTTAAAACCAAACAGGATAAAGCCAGAGTCTCAGTGAAGGCCCAGACTCCAGAGGCCTGTAAGAAGATGTATGGCAAGGTCCATACACGCCACATCAACCAGCTTTTCATTCGGGGTGAGGACATTATCCTGGTTAACCCACAGCCACTCTGACATTTGTTTTCTGCTTGAGATTTGTCCTGAAAAAAAAAAACATTGTATTTTCACCAAACTTAACTACACTCAGTTAAATTTGAACCTAATTTTTTGCTGAGCATGTGTAATAATGTGTGAGAAATACTGTCAAACTGTCAGAGATCTCTGATTTAATTAGATTCAGGAGAATCAGACAAAAATCAGTTATATCACATTGATATGGTTTTTTTCAGCCCACTAGAGAAACATTTATTTTGAGGAATAAAAGCATTTCCGTACTAGTCGTTTCTCGTCTTTTTTTTTTGTCAGTCACTATGGAAAATGTATTTTGACATACTTCTGCCACAGCTTCAGTTAAAACTGTATTTTCTATTACCCAGCAGGTGGCAGTATAAACACATTGGTGCCATCTGCAAGGCCACTGTCATCTCAAAGAGCCCGTCCCTTTATGTTGCTTTTCCCCATTAGTTTGAACAGGAATGACAGCGCAGTCTCAGTGGACTTCATAAATGCATTATGAATAATTGAGTTTGTGAAGCTAGAGATTGCAGATGGCACTCAAAAGCTGTCATTTGTCTTGACGTCTCAGATTGCTTTTATTCTTTAATGGGCACATTACCCATAAAAGCACAATTTACTGCTTCTCGTGGAAGTTGTAAAGATGTTTCCTTTTTCCTCCCTTTAAATGGCAGAGGTTACTTTTGGGTGATGAGTAACAGAATGATTGTATGTTGCAATAATGTTTCTGGGTTTGCTTCAACAGTTTTTGATATACCTTTGTATTTTAGTTCTTAACTTCAGAGAGTTTGACCTTCTTTCTATATAATTTTATGCCATAAATAGGACAAATTCTATCAGTAGCCGAGCAATTCATCTATATATTGTTACTTTACATATAAAGTATCAGAATATTATTAGTATAGCCCATTTAACAATGCTCTCTCCAGAGAGGGAAAACGAGGTCAATTGTTTAATGCAAGCCGTGTTTTAGTTGTGTTTGTCAGACCCGTGTGTTCTAACAAACCTCAATACCATATGAGAAGCACACAACATTGGGTTGAAGACATGAGCCACAGTTGGACTACAAAAGCTTTCGCTTGAGTGCATTATATTAGTAATCAGGCCAGGCCGCTGTTCTCACTAGGAGAAACTACATTTCATCCATTGAATAAATACTGAAAGGTTGAGGACACCAAGTATCAACAGTTCCAGTTGTATTTAGCAACTGTCATAATAAGAGTTAGAACTCTGGTATCTGAAATCCATTACTATTTCAGCTGTGACTGTGTACTATGCCCATGTAAAATGTGGCAATGGAAATATATGGATCTGGTGTTTGGCAGTTTCCATTCCCTTCACTTATATAATTTAAAAATACTTTATTTACTGAAGATTTTTTTTTTATTACAACAACGAAGTTAACAAAAATCACATCAAGTAAATGTAATTTCAAAGTCCAGCGCGATGGCTTCACTTTTGCTGCTTGAAGCTCTTTTGAATGAGGCTAATGACACAGCACACCAAATAACACACACCATTAACAAATTCTAATCAGCTGTTTAATGTAGTTGATAAAGAATCGCAATGTGTAAATCAATTCAAAATGGGAGTAATGTAAATTGATTTTTTTCAAAAGATTTTATATTTGCATATACTAGTGTTTCAGTAACAATCCCATTTTAATCAAAATCAAAATCATATGAAGTAGATAACTATGCATAAAACAGTCTCTGCTGACATATTTTAGAAAAACAGTGAACAGATTTTGGTCATTTTAATGCTTCAGACTTTGATGCAAGGCTACAATGTGTTGGTGTGCTCAGCCTCTTGAGCCCTTGGGAGAGTAGGAGAGCACAACTTTAGTCTTCCTGGGCCTGCTGAATCCACCACCTTCTCCTCTGGTCAGTGAATCATTTACCTTACCGCTGATATACCAAAAATGTCAGACCGTGAAGACCGACCTATCACTCATTACAACGGTCAGGAGGTAGCCACCAGGAGGCACTTGAACCACTGAAGTACAATGTTGGGTACATCTAACAGTTCACCTAGATGGTGTGCAGTGGAACAGGATTGTTCATTGCGTTACCCCATAGTACATCATCATCCGACTGCCATGGTGTACTGCGTGTGTACAAACTGCATCCCAACTGTTGAAACAGCTTCCCCTCACACAGTTGTTTATACCTTGCTAACATGCAGACTTAGACTGATGACTGTTAGGCTGCTGAAATGTGTAACAATAAAACTGAAGGTGCGAAGGCAGGATTTGATGCATTGAAGAACACTTTAACAGATGCATGATGCAATATTAATAACAGTCGACATCAGCACTCGAGTTGCTGACCTAATGGGTATTTTCATCTTGGCAATTCTGGGGAACTAAAGTTAGAATCAATAAAAAAAAAATGAATGAAAGTGAATTACACAAATGTATCTGATATCTGTACAGAGAGTATACTTGGCTTGAGGCATAAGTACAAATGTTTGTACACAGTACAGAAGCTCTGTTCTGGAAGCTGTCCTCAACACTGCACAGTCACACTGCCACCTTCAATGAGGTTAACTGAAGAGAAAAGGCAAAGGTCTTTCAGGCACTCTGCTGTAAAAGAGCCCACAACCCCTGTATGGGGCTCTTTCTACACAGTGATTATCTCATTTGGACGCAAACTGATAATATTCTTCATATGTAAAATATATAGATATATACCAATAAGAAAAACTACAAATGAAGGAGAATCTCAAATCTTTCACTCAAAACACTCAGCCACATTGGGAGTGTGTGGACATGCGTACAAAGAGAAGGTGTCAGTGTGCTTTGTGATAGGTCAGCTGTATCAGATTTGGTCTGAATGATACAACTTGCATTGTTACTCTCTCTCCTATAGGTACTTCATAAGTTATTTTTAAGGGCTGCAGATTTCTATTTACAGGTCAAAGGAAGAGCTCGGACAAATAAGAGGTAACAACATTCTTAAAATGTACATTAGAAAATTATAATTAATGATCATGTTATCAGAACCATCATTCAGTGAAGTTACTGAGCAATGCATCTCAAATTCTGCAGCTCCTGATATATATTTTTGCTAATCTGATGATTACTCTTGATTGAGGTTATAAAGCATTGAGACATTCTCTCGGTGGCACACACTCATTTCTTCTCGACTTATAACCAACAAGGCACAATATCATCTGTGTAGTCTGACCACCACCCCAGACCAGACAGATCATTGGTTCAAACAACACACACAGTAAGGAGATTGCAGGGTGTTGATGCTATGATAGTTGACATTCAAGTACTCTTTGTTTGCAGCTCAGAACAATTCCTTCACCAGGGGATGGAGAGAGAGAGAGAGAGAGAGACTGACACTGCTCCTGATTATCTTTGCTCTCCAGCTTCATCACTTTCCAAAGTTACCAAAGTCAGCAAAGGCATTGTGTTTGGGCTGTTGGACCATTGCAGGGTTCATCCCCATCCCCATAGCACCAGGCACCCCCATGTTCATACCTCCTTGTGGCATCCCCATGTTCATACCTCTGTGTTGCATTCCCATGTTCATACCTCCTTGTGGCATTCCCATGTTCATACCTCCTTGTGGCATCCCCATGTTCATGCCCATCCCCATCATGCCCGGGTTGGGGGCCATGCCCATGCCAGCTCCAGGGTGCATCATTGGATTTATGGCTGGCCTGACTGCACCAGGTCCAAGGCTCATGTTTGAAAATTCCTGGGGGAGCATGTTGGCAGCTACCTGGTTACCTGAGAACATCAGAACAAACTCAATGTCAAATTTTAAATAACATTTGATTCAGTGTACCCTGACTAAGAGGGAAAAGCTGTGTTCTGCTTCCACTATTCATGACAGATCTATTATTACTTCTCACCTTGTTGGAGTGTGTTGAGGCTGGGCTGGCTAGGCTTGGGGGGCTGTATGCCTGGACCTAAGAAGTCCAAGTTAATGTTAACAGAGGGGTCTGACCAGGTAGAAGGGAGGGATGCTTTGGTTCCAGCACCTTGAGGGGCAATTCCCTGCTGCACAGGCTGTGGCTGTGGCTGTAGAGGAGTCCCCATGTTTTGGAGGGGCTGGTAAAAACAGAGATACACACAAATACCACATTAGACAAAGTGCTAATTCAAATGCTATTTTAAAAAAAAAAAGATAAAAACATCCTGACATTTATAGCAATATAATACAAGAAAGTTCCAGCACTGAAAAACATAATAAAAATAAAGATGGTTATAATTCAAGGCCCTAAACCTGGAGCCTGACCTACTTAACCCTGATATTATCAAAGCAGCCTGCTACTGTATTTTTCTGAAGTCATTATAGCAAACAATCTAAAATGACTTGAGTAAGGTGGGTGTCTTCTCAGTGGAAAAAAAAAAAGTAGGTCACCAATCTTTTAACATAGAAATACAGTCAACATGTACTGGCTTTTGTTGGATTCTTAATGTTTTTGTAACTCAAATCTGATTCTTCTCATTCCTTGTATCAGTAACAAGAGGAGTGGGTGCTTAGTGGATGGTCTCTGGGGGAGAGGAGCATCTGGTGAGGGTTCATATTAGCCTCCTATCATCATGCTTGTCCTCCATCTTTCAATCACACAACCTACGTCTCTATCACAACTACATTCTGACTGATGTGGTCAACAAGGATCAGTGTTTAAGTGAATACAGTAAAAGTGTGAAAAATGAATTCTTTTTGATCTGGAGCAATAGATCAGTTATATAATTTCTCACATTTGACATTTATCCATTTCCCACTTTAAACAGGATATTTATCTTTATGTGCACAAGGACAAACAACAAGCCTGTGGTTAGAAAATACAAACAAATTCATCTGGTTAAAAGCAATATCTAAGAATAGTGGCAACAGAATTTATAGGCAGAACTAATTCTATCAGTCAATACTGGTATCTGTGATTTAAAAAATATATAACCCAAAATAACACTGAGCTTTATCAGTCTAGCTGTGTGTCCTTCATAGCAGAAAGCACAAAAAGCATGGCTATTTTTCTGGAGATATGATGCCCACACCTCTCACTTATGCCGCCATCATGAGTCTTTTAATGATCTGTACATCAGGAAATTATTTAAAAATGTGTATGTACGAGTGCAATCGTGTATACCTGTGACCTAGACTGGGGTAGGGCTGTAGTGCTCATGCTCTGTGTGCTGCTCATGCTAATGTTAAGGCTCTGGGAGGAGGTGAGGGACTGAGTTGGGCCCATCAAGTCAAACAGGTCTGCTGAGGCAGGACCAGAGCCTAGAGCTGAGACTGAGGCAGGAGCTGGGGCAGGGGCAAGACCTGCTGTCATGGTTCCAAAAAGGTCATTTCCACCGGTGTCAAGAGTCTGAGCACATGCTGGCATCTGACCTCCAGGGAAGGCATTCCACCCTCCAAAGTCTCCATTGCTGCTAGAGACTGGTGCTGCTGCAACAAGAAAAAGAAAAAGAGACAGTTGTGTAAATGTCTGTATTTGAGGTGCAAACAGTGATGTTTGTATTGTGAGCTACGTTCACAAAAGCAAACTTGAACCTAGTAAAACAGTTTAGAATGCACATCTGAGAAGTAAGGCCAGTCTAGTTTTATCCAGAGCAATGACCACTGGTGCACCATTTTAAATTTTCATTGAACTGGTCAATCTTGTTGTTTCTCTGTCTCTCAGTTCCTCTCAGCTGCCTCCACCCCCACCAACTTCTTCCTCTGTCCCTGTCTCCTTGTCATCCATAACAGGAGTTGATGTGTGTCTGTTCTTGTTATGCAGAGCAGGTAGCAGGCTCCATATGGCCAGGGCTCCCTCCCAGCAGCCCTCTGAATATTCTAGCAGTATGGCTGGCACAAAACACCACCTACTTGCGTGCGTGTATGCGCGCGCCTGCATGCACACACACCCAATCCATAACAGGAGTTGATGTGTGTCTGTTCTTGTTATGCAGAGCAGGTAGCAGGCTCCATATGGCCAGGGCTCCCTCCCAGCAGCCCTCTGAATATTCTAGCAGTATGGCTGCCACAAAACACCACATACTTGCGTGCGTGTATGCGCGCGCATGCATGCACACACACACACACACACACACACAAACAAACAAACAAAAAGAAATAGTGAAACCAACCAGATCCCGGGGAGAGGCCAACACCGGCAGCAGGTGAGGAGAAGTCAGCAAATCCACCGATCAGGTCTGCATTGAGAAATTGACATAAACATGTCAGTTTTAACTAAGCGAGCTCCAGGTGTCATTCTAACATAGTTAGCATTCCTTCAGTGTCAGAAGTGTAGAGGGAGAGGAGGGGTGGTGGCAGTGGATGGGTGGAGGAGACCAAACATCTGTTCAGTGCTTCCACCTTCTCCATTCACCAGAGACTACTCCAAAAACATCTGGTGCACTTAGTTCCTATACATCAATTCCCTCCCCCCTGCTGTCCACAAAAGCTGAAGCATCAGCAGCTGGGCACTGTCACTGCAAAGAGTCTAGTCCTGGAGTCACTGTAGAGTTGCCCGTTTTGTACAACAATATAATGCTGAACATAAAGGCTTTCCAGGATTTACTGGATGCAAGAATATACAACATATAAATAAATCATAATTGGAGCTGCTAGAAGGTGCATTTTTCCTTTTGGGCAGAGACAAACTGTTTCCCTATGGTTCCAGTCTGTGTGCCAAGATATGCTGAACATGTCTTAGACCAGGTTTCTAAGATTCCATTTGTCTCAGCTAAAACAACAAACCAATGCAGCTTACAGAACATCTGGGTATATTTGACATCATACCTGGGGAAGCAGGCTGGGTCGGTGTTGTGTCCACCATTAGTAGGTTAGCTAGGCCGGGACCAGAGGACTGAGGGACTGCTGCTGGCTGGGGCTGTAATAATGAACATTATACAAAAAGATCAACACACACAGGACACACAAATACACGCACAACAGCTCACATGCCCTCCTCCTACCTGTTTGTTGGTGGTGTCTGGACTCTTGTCTCCTGTGTAGTAGGCTGCAGCCCCCAAGTCTACCTTCCGGGACGGGACCCCTCTCTTCCGTGTTGCTGTTGTCTCTGTTGCTTGGACTATGTGAACACTCTTCGTGGTAACAGTCTCCTCGGCATCTTTGAACTCTTTTCTAGACTTTCCACTCTGAGATGAGGAGCTCCGGTCCTCGTCATTGTCACTGTGAAGAAAATTATTCAGATAAGACTACCAATTATGTGATTGCATATGATTCTCTTTGTAAATACTCTATCCATCAAGGAACAAAAAGAATTACAATCCAAACCCTGCTTTGGATGAAGCCTCTATGTTATCTACTGTAATCATCCAAGTAAACCTGGTTCTTTTTTTCTCCATTCTGGCTATTAATGGCCTGATCAGTCATTATTTTACAACTTCATCTAGCTTTATTCATAATACAATTGAAAATTGACTTGTAGCTTTAATATAGATTTCTGAAAATAAAGGCACATTTACTGGCACAATACTGATTTAAGAACCTTTAACAGCATCACAAACCTTAACCTTAGCAACAGTCCTCTATTAGTTTAAGAGTGACAGTTCAATTTTTCTACTCTTAATTTTTGTTGGTGGGGGCCTTCATTTTGTTTATATTTGGAACATGGTATGTGTCTTCATGCTTAACATGGTGCTAAATATCATATGCTGTTTCGCTCAACTCCTACCTAAATCGATCTGGTGAATCGTCTCTATCCTTCTTCCTAAATCTGCTGATGGTATCATCAATGGTGCTGCCGATTTTGTCGCTGATCTCTCCCAATTTCTCGCTGAATGGAAACTGCCCTTTATTTTTGTCCCAGTCGTCGTCCCACTTTCCCCGGTTATCGTCATACCTGTCCCCCGCTGGAGGGAAAGGAAAAGGAGATAGAAACCAGAAAAAGAAGATGATTTTACTTAAAACCTAGAAGTTATTTTAGTTCATTTTTAAGCCATTTATATTATTTGCTAAACTAAGGACTCACGGTAACTTCGATATCCCATGCTGTCAGAGGATACTCCAATGTATTTGTCTCTGTTCTTCTTTGCCTTTTTCCGTTCTTCCCTGAGCCTTTCATCGTCCTGGACAAATTCCACTAGCTCCCTCACCTTCTGACGTACATTCACACCCTGGTCCTTCCCATTCTCATCTAGGGACAGTGACGTGGAGACAAATGTATAAATTAGCAACTTTGTCTTAACTTGAAAATGTACTGAAACCACACACAGGCAATAAACATGCAATATCTGTACAGGAAAAGCTCAGTGCTCTTGCCCGGCAACATCACCTTATACACACACATAGCTGGA